TAAATCTCTTGTTATACGTGTTATCTTAACTTTCTGCTTTTCGAAGCAATGGAGAGTTGACTTGGTCACTAAAAGTTAAACCCAACTTTATGCTGAGTGCCCCGGAACAGACTTTGACCAGTGTGACTCTAAAAATATCAGCTAACTGCTGAAGAATGCAGAATGAAACTTAGGTTTACACAGTAGTTGGGAAGCTTGCCAGGTTAAAGGAGAAGCTGTCTTCACAGAAGTAAATTTCTGTTGAAGGTCTTAAATTTTCATTCTTAACTGATAGCTGTGTCTGCTTAACTGTGGCAATTGACAATGGAATACCTTATACTTTCTTTTTCTCATCCTCTGATTTCTCTGGTATTTCACTTTCAGTGACTCCTTTTTTGTACCTGATACTGTACCCAGAATAATTACCTTTGCAATGTTTTCTTCCCCCACAAAGAAACCATAAAATACATTTGAAATACTTGATGTTCTTTTCAAGGGGGACAAGAAAAAGTCCTAATCTAAAAGAGAAAAAATTCTGATGGGCAAAAATGTAATTAACTAATGCATGTTGAAAAGTAATGTGTATTTGAGAAATATCCATACAAGGAAGTGACTGGAGACACATATTCAATGTAGGACATTGTCCACACTGGAGATCCAAATAAACTTTAAGCATTACTGTAAGAAAGAGAGACTCATTCTTTCAAAACAAATTGTCTATCAGTGTGTGCAGTTCATATATTATTTAAAATATTAGATGTGAGAAACTGATGCATACATCTACCTGAATTTCTTCCAAAGACAGATATAGCCTATTAAGATGATTGGAGTCTCATGATTTTGTTTAGTGCTGTGTATAGCCTGTAATATGAAGTTGAAGGATGCAGAGAGATCTTTTGATTGCAAGACTTGTAGCAGAAACTCAGATTGGCCACATTGAAGATAGGAATTACCAAGTGTGGCAATTGAAAATGTGGGAGAAGGGGAAGAAATGATTGTGCTGACACTATATACAGTAAATGTTAGATCTAGCCTTTGTTTAGTTCTGCAAATTTGCATGCATATATAGCAAAACAAAAGATCCTACACAGAGATATTGTTTAAAATCTATAAATCTGGAGTAAAGTTTTGGATTTCAGAAGGAAATAGTTCGAAAAATTGTCTGAACAGTGTTATGCTGTCTTCAATACAAAGAGAATCTGTTGTAATGAAAAATGTAAACACTATTGGAGTCTTTGAGACATAGAAAACCCCAAGGATTTGATCTGATTGCTTGGACACTTACCTCAAAAAGGCTACTAGGAATAAACAGAGAGCCTGCAAGATACAGCAAGGAGAACTGAGGAAAGAATGTCGTATTATCAATCACTTTTTGAAAGTGAGAATTGTTAAAACCTGAACAGACTTAGACTTTTTATACTTTAAGACAGACAATAGAAACAAGCAAATTGGAAAATAAGGAAAAAGTAGTTGCAGCTGTTCAATACCAAGAAAAAAAGATGAAGAGTGATCTGAGACTGATTTGCTAGAATGTATGGTTTCAAAATTAACTCTAAGGAGTAGTAAGAAAAATCTCAGAGGAAATAACACAGATATTTTTTTCAATTCTTTCTGCTCACCAGAACAAAGTCTTAAGAAATCACTTCCATAATGGCAGTGATTTTTAACCCAGAAAGATTTAGGAAAAAAATTGTAAAGGATGAGAGTAATTTGGAATTAGGAATAACTGAGACTATAATAAATACAGATTGCATATTTTAATAAAGTCCATTCAGAGATCTCCATTGCAGGATTTTAGAAAAGCCTACTCAGAAATTGACACTTGCCTTCAAATTTCTAAGGCAATCTTGTAAATAGGAGGTGACACCATTTGATAGTAGATACCTGAGCATAGAATATACAGTGCTGATGTTTTTAAATATGTGAAAAACATTGCATCCAGTTCTAAAATGTAGACACCAGTTGGTGAAGCTTCAGAAGAAATTTGAAGGGATGGTGGAAACCAGAGAGAACTGTTGAAGTGCAAAATGAGCTTCCAAGTTGTGTCATGCTAACTTGGTGGTTTTGATAGGAAAACTGATTTCCTAAATGGGAAGTAGATCTTATCTGCTTAGGCAAATTTTAAAATTAGGGTGATGAAATGCTTCATGAATTTTGAGAGGTTTAATTAGTACGCAGGAAGATTATGCAAGAAGAGTTTAAGAACCATGGGAATTGAAATAATAAGTTTGAAAAGTGAGATTTAAAAGTTAAAAAAAAAGGGGAGGTATATGGATGCGAGGTTGTACTTGAGCAGAATATCTTTTCCTCAAAGGAGGAACATCTGATTTGAAAATGCTGGGGGGTGGAGTTGAGTGATCATGAGATCTCTAAACTGCCAACAAGAAGTGACTGAAAAAGTACTGGGCACAGGGCAGGTCTTGCATGAAGAGTAGCTGACCACACAGGAGCCTGATGAGGCATCATATGGGATCCTGCACACTCCTGTGGTGCTACACAATTCAAGAAAGGTAGAATCAAACTGGAGCAGACCCAGAGAAGGACTACTAGGTTAGGAGTTCTACTGTTTGATGCTAAAAAAATCTGCTCTGCATGAAAATACAGTTGCTTTTTTAGAATCCAGGGGATGGAGAGTTGAGAAGAAAGAGCTGAAGTTAGTGCTAAGACACGATTAGTGAATTGGTTTGAGATGGTAAATGTTTATATAGAAAACTATAAGAAGACTTGAAACCATCAGGGGAAAAAAATCTTCCTAGATCACATTTCCAATAGGAATCATGAGGGCAAAATACTCAGCTGCTGTAAGACTGAGTTTGTAATCTTTTTTGAAGTTATTGTGTTTTGTCGGTGATAGCTGCGAAGTGGGCTCCAGGTTTAGGAAGTTGTTTCTAGTCCTTTGTTTCTGTGTCTTTTACTGATAAGGAAAAGGTAATTTATTTAACCATTGAAGTTGGACACTGATGTAGGCAATCAGTTTTAATCTGGTTTTACATTTCTGTTTTCAATATTTTTTCAGATAAAATTACTATTCTTGTTTAGTGTACTTAGCCCTAGCTAGGAGAATGCTTTCTATCTCTAATAATTGGTGATCATTATGATGGCATTGTATAGCCCCCGTGCATTGATTACAGTTCTTTGAGTATTTTGATTATGAAAATGGTGAATTGTGCATTCTGATTTAAGTTGTTTAATTTGTTGTTATGTCCAGCTGCATTTTTATGGAAAGTGGAATTAGAATAAAATGTTACAAACCCCGCACTTTCTACATCTTAATAGATTTTAAGTATTGTTGTTATAACAACACCAGGCATCCATTCAGTGTCACCAAATTTATTCAACAAAGGTGGTAGTTTCTTTAGTTACTGAATTAATTGTGTTTATAATGACCTTCAAGACTTTATTTATTAATATACCGGAAGAAAAAAAATAACACCCCAAGCTTTAGTACTGTTTTTGGTTCCCAAATTGGTTCTCAGTATTGGATAGATAGAATAGATCATTCAGAAGATCTAAATTAATGAACTAAAAGGAGGAAAATTTTCTGTATCTACTGAAGTACATAACAGTTAATGGCCAATTGTGTGTTTTGGTGTGTTTTTTTCTCAAGTACTTAGCTGCTGAGCTCCAATCAATTTTGTTTTAAATTCTTAAATTAGGAACGTTTTTAGATACTTTATTAAATGATACTAAATTTAGGTATTTGTGTGGTGTTTAAAGTCGAAGTAATAACTTTAAGGAAAAAAATCTAAACATGTGAAATACATAAAAATCTGAAAGATTTGAAAGTAGTGTTTTACCTACATGGCGTCCTGTTAGAAGAGTGCAAATGTGTAGGTTACATCTGTTGAACAAAGCAGGCTTTTGTGATATTAAATGCCACAGGTCCTATACATGCCAGCAGTAATCCTTGTTAGACGAATAACTTAGCTTTAGAGCACTGAAACTTTCTGCCAGATGGTTTGTTTACTTTTCTTACTGAGATTAGAGCGTTCTTTCTATGTTTGATCCTAAGGATAATGTTGATTTTAAACAGGGGAGTTTTGCTGTGAACAAAATCTGACTTCTGAAAGATATTTGCAGTCACGTTTTACTTGATCTGTAATTGAGTGGAATAAGGGACAGGAGGCAGAGACCTTACTTCAACATACATGCATAGGTAACCAAGATTGAGTCAGCTGTAGGTCCAGTGAAATATGCCAGCAAATTCATCCAACGTGTCCCGCTTCCTCTGGGTATCTCTAGCCTAACTCTGTGCCTTGTGCCTTCTTGTATGTGCAGTTAGGTGAATGGAGCTATGTGTCCTTGAGGGGTTGTGCGTGAAGCCCATTTGATGGAAGGAAATGCCTTGGAATGCTGGTTGGATTCAGTGACTAATGAGAAGACCTTTTCCCTCTCTAGATGTGTTAGTCATATTGATAAAAGATAAATCTATATGGTTGATTTCTAAGTCCTGTACTGTGGGTCAGTGTGTATGATTTTCCTTTGAAGCACCAAGCTGGTTTTGTTTTACTTTGTTTTCCCAGTACAGGCTACCTCCTGTCTTCACAGACTTGTGTTTTATGCAGTTCAGTTTGAATCCTCATAAGCCTTGTCAGGTACAAAACCAAATCTGCCCTGACTACCAAACTGTAGAATGATCTGTGTGGAAGACTAGTTCCCCTCTTTATTTTTTTTTCTCCCCTGAAGATTTTTGCATGTAGAACATAATTCATGGACCTGGATTTCTGAAAAGATCTTAGATCTCATCAAGAGAGATCTTGTTTTCTGCTTGTTCAGTTTGGTTGTTGGAGCCTTGGTTAGATTATGGTGCTGTTCTGTGCCTTTTTTATTCAGTTAGGATAATGAGAGGAAATCAAGAGTGGATTGTGTCAGTCTGTTTAGAGTATTTACTTCAGAATGTCATTCTCTCTTCATTTTTAGTCATTCTCTCTCTTGATTTCTAAAAATAGAAACTTGGGAATAATTTCTGAAGTTGGTACAACTGAACCAAAACCAATGTGGTGCACATAATGAAGACAGACGTTGTATGGAGCTGAATGTACAGTACTTTTAGAGATGTATCAGAAGGTAACTTAAAATGACTGTGTCTTCTTATATCCTCTTACAAGTATAATTTTGGTAGCAAAATATTGTACTGCATTTTAAATGTTTGAAAAAGCTACTGTTTTGCTTTGTTTTAAGCTACTAAAGATATTAAGCTGTATAATTTGAAATTATGAAGGAAAGTGCAGTAACTTCACATCTTTTCAATTACATATTAGAGTGTAGTGGTTTTTTTAAGATGCTATTTAAAATCCTATTTTTAGTCATTTTCTATGAACAGTACATGGGAAACAGTATGCTCTGAACCATTAATGCAGTCATTCAGCCAGTTTGCAGATTGGGTCAGAAACAAGTCTGTCAGTCACTGGCAAATGGGAAATGTCTTTTGAGCCAGTAGATCTGTCCTCTGGAATAAAACTTCAGGGTACCCCAAATCCCTTGTTAATCTTTTTCATGAGAGATTTTGGCTCCAGTTACAAGAGAAAAGCCTTCTTGAGAATGAAGATTGAAATATTTTTTTTGAATGGCCTCTAAATCCCCATTATTCAGTCTTTTTCCTCGCAAAGTCATAGAGACAAGTTCTGCAAATAAACATGCACCAGTTTGACCATCTACCTATATGATCAGAGCAGAAAAGACCAATCAGATATACATTCAGGAATCAGTGCAGTGTCACTATATACTTGCTTAAAAAGCAAACAGAAAGGCAAAACCCCTTGCCCAGACTTGTCCTAGACTTACTCGTCTTGAATCTGAAAATCTGCTTGTTGTGGTACTCAAGGAATCGCTGTCCAAAGCAAGGAAGAGGAGAGGTGTCCATCTTTCATGCTTGTACAAGGTGTAACAGAAGAGGGGAATTTTAGCTAGATGTGTGAGACAGTCATCAGTAGCTGCTGTGGGAACTGTGACCTAAGTGGTGTTGGGCCATCCTTCTTAAAGGTCACCGTGGGTCACCATTCTTTAATATTCAGCTTTCCATTTCTAGTTTATGATTTCTTGGACTGCATTTCCAGGTGCTTCATTATTTAAGAGGCATTCACACAGACACTTCTGCATCTGGTTGGGTTTGTAGATTGTTGTGAATTTGTTGTCATGTCCGGTAGGAATGGTCTAGAAATACCTGATACTTGTTCGTAGGGTGATATAGTCTCTGCAAATCTTTCAAACCGGATGACTAGAACTCTGACTTTGTGGCTCTTGAAAAGTGTCTTAAGCAGACTGGGGATGTTCATTGAAGTGAGAACTTCCAAGAGTCTTGAGTATTTTTAGAATTAATATTCATTTCATATGTAAAATCTGAAATTCTTCAGGAATGGATGAGACCTAAGCTTGGGACTCACTTCAGTAGTAGCTCTTAACCAGAATGTTCTGTAGAGTGCTGGTAACTAAACTGAAGAGAAACATCTCATGAAACTTTATTGTGGAATTCAGTACTGATGTTTCACAACGTCATAACTTGGCTTCTTGGCTTGATAGTTTAAGTTAAAACAAACTTTCAAGAGGAAAATCAAGATCTTACTGCAAGAATGTTGTCTTATCTTATGGCAAGAGAGTGTCACAATTAGCTGACATCAATAATGAGATGACAATATTGATACTTCATGTTTTTGACTCAACTTGAGAAGAGTCTCTGTCATCTGAGAAGTTCCTAAGATAATTTAGTCTTTTGAAGCTGGTTATATCCATGCAAGGATGTGAATGGAAAAGTTCTTGCCAAACTTGAACAGCATTTGCTCACTGCTGAGAGAAAGATGGGAAGAAAAGATGCTGACAGACAAGCTCTGTTGGATTTAGCTGAAGCAGTTTTTATAATGCTGCCAATGCTCTTCAGCTGTAGGTGATTTTCCTCCATGTACGTGTGGCACAAAGCATTCTTTAAGCTAAAAATGGACTGTGAACATGGCTTTCAGATTATGCACAGGTTAGCTGCCTCTATGCTGGATGGGAAGGCAAGCTCTTCATTTTAGAGCTGTAGCAGATGGTTTTATTTGAGCCCTATGTCCTTTTCAAAAGAGCTGTCGTGTTAGTCTCTTACTGAATTACATTTTGCTGTCAGAGAAATGAAAACCTTTTTTCAGTCAGTCTAGGTGGTATAACTAGGAGTCTCTTTGCTCTCAATCCAGCATGCAGAACTGTGATTTCATGCAGTTTATTTTAGTTGGTTCCTGCTGGGAGGTAGGATCATGTCGAATTTCACCAGCTGTAGTATTGAGGTGGACCCTTCTGTCATTCTGCGTAACATTATTTATAACTAGAATAGTGTAGCAGTAGGCTCTAAATACATGCCATTAAACTTGTGTCATATTTTAAATAACACATGGGGTATTTTACCTTCCTGCAAGCTTATATTTTGCTTTTCTGATTTCTAACTGACTTTTTCAGGTAACATTACACTGCTTCAGTGCTGTTCTCCCAAGTTCACCTGTTCTGGAGGTAGAGCTGAGCTTCTTGTGAGATGTGTTAGATGTTACTGAGGAAGACAATAGAATCCTTCTTACTCACTCATTCATATGCTTAGATATTGTCAGATGAGGTGTAGTCTGAAACTTGCATAAAATCAATCTATAACTTTAGAGATGTCTTGAAAGTGTTGAAGCCTTTTTGAATGCTGAAGTCTGTTGGCTGTGTCCAGGAGCTGTTGAAGTGCTTCAGCTGTCAGATGGTACTTGATTCTGTGAGAAGCATTAATTTTCTATCCAGAGAAAGTGATTTGGTCTGGAGAAGGATATTCATGACAGTAGCATCAACATTTCATTGATAATGAAAGTTTGGGGAGAAGTGAAAGTTTTGTAGTAGTTCCCTAGCATAGTGAGAAGCCAGACTTAGGATGAGGTGAGAAAAGCATAATTAAGAAATAAATCCTGAGAGCAGGTTTAATATTTAGAGAACAGTTTAAGCTGATCTGATGTGCCACTGTTGTGGTCCAGTACAATGCTGCTCTCCGTGACATCCTGTCATCTCTAAGTACATTACTGTACAAGACAGTTTGTCAAATGCGAACTTGTAGACGTCCCTTCAAATTTCATGCTTACAGATCCCTTTTTCTGTATTTTCTATGATCTAATGATATCAAGGGGGGGAGGAGCCGAAACTATTATTGAACAGAGCTCAATGCTGCTGCAGCCTTGCTGTTCCTTCTTGCTCTCCTGGGGTTGTTTCTGCCCATTATGTTATGTCAACTCTGCCTGTAATGGGGAGAACTGTGTATTTATGACTTTGAGGGAATGCATTTTAGTTGTCTTTATGTTTAACTCAGTGAATCACTCTCGTAGGTGGATTCACATATCTGTGCATGCCGTCTCAAAGGCAATGGAAAGAGCGTAGACAACAGTGAAATAGGGATGGCATTAAATTAGTGTTAACTTGAATTGGTTCGTGCATTTGAGAAGTGGTTGGTTTCCTGTAAGTCATAGGAATGCTGAAGAAGAGTAGGGACTTTTGAAACCATGTCTTCAAGTTTTTGTTTTCCTGGCTTTAGGGTTTGACTGTGTCCTGCAGTCCACTTCCAAGATTACCATGGAAAACCAAAAATGTAGTAACTTTTGGTAGTGCCTTTTTTTTTCTGTTGTGTTGTAATGGTATTATGTTAGTCGTTATGGGATTGCTGTTGCCTTTCCTCTGGGTGTAGAACAAGACACAGACCTTAGCTCATTATCTGATTGTATATATTTTATTTGTGGTTTTTGGGCTTGTGCTTTCTTGGTTGGTTTCTTTTGGCAGCAAGACTTTTTAAATGTAAAGTTTGCAAAGGTATACTTAGTCTTTATTTCCTCATCTTCAGACATTGTCTTTACCTGTTCATCTGTGCATTGTCTCTAACTTATTATAAAAAGTGTTTTTGAGCAATTTTCAAAACTTGGGCTACCTAAGAGAGTAGCGTAGTGCCATAGCATGACAAGGACAGTTGGAATAATGCTTTGTAGCTATGTACCCCTTAGGTACACTTGTGTTTCAGTGCAAATGTAAAAACTAGTTTCATTTTTAAAATTTGTCATCTTTATTTTGGATTTCATGCTGCTTTTAATTGTTCAAAGATATTTCTTAAAATGCATATTGGTCACAACTGGAATTCTGTAAGGATAGTTCTGTTTGAAATGGTAGGGATTTGATTTATATTTAAGGCAGTCAGAACAATTATATTGCATAAAGGGCAGCATGATGTATTACTGTATGTCCAATTCATGCCATTATCTAGAATTCTTCACTTGAAATGAGTAGCTAATGAAGTGTTTCAGTGGCTTATATTTGTCTAAAATGGTCTGTTTTAACGTTGTCATGTTCATATATCTATAACCATGCTGTATTAGTGCAAGCTATACCCGAATAATTGTGCTGAATGTTACATAACACATTGATGATTGACTCAGCCTTTGGAGATCCATCAGTTCTAGGTGATATTGAAAATGCTTGTGAAGGCCAGTGGCCATGTTTGTATTCAGAAGTGTGCCAACAGGTCTGCTCTCATGTTCTGAGCAGTGAGTAGGGTTTTGGTGGGTCAGATCGGTGCATAGCACATGATTAATTTGGAAATTAGCATACTTGCTAATTTATTTTAGTAGGGGTGAGCAAAACACACAGTAGCTGCAATGTAGGGCTTAGGTTGGCTAATGTGAAGTCTAGAAAATGAGTATATGAAGTAATTTTGTCTAAAGGACAAAGCAGGAAGATCCAGAGAACATGGTCTAAAACTGTTCTTTCCCACATCAGTCTCACAAATCACCCCACACTCTGCTTTCCAAATGAAATGCAGGAAGAAGTGTTCCATGATCTAGGTGTATGGGGAGAGAAGTCCAGGAAGGAGTCAAGAACTGCAGGCACCGTGATGAGCAAAAGCAAGCAAGGCAACTGCTTTGAACCAAGCTCTGTCAGAGGGAAAGACACAGTCATGCTCTCAGCTTGCTAAGGCCTGTAGTGGGATCTTGTAAATAATATGGACTGACGTACACAAGAGCAATAAATTGGATGTACATCTTCTTAAGAACCATAATTTTTGTCATGGTTTGTGTTTTAGTATTTAGAAAGCTAAGCAAGCTAACTTAATGTTATGCTATGTTATATTTTCTATTTCTGTGTGTCTGGCTTTCCTGAATTGCATCATCACTGTATTTAATTTGCTTGATGTTTTTTGTTGATGAAAATATATAGTGTAAGTAGCCCAGTTCTTTGCAGATATAAACACTTTAAGCATTGGGGGTTTTGTGACTGTTAAGTTTTCTCTTTTATATTTGTTTTTCTTCTTTGTCTGATGTTATTTGCTTTGATGGGATGGCATTCTTTTCAGCTTGGCATTGAGACAAAGGTTTCTGATGTGTTCTTGCCATTATTTGTCATAGCTAGCTTTTAACATTTCACATCAAATGTAGCCTGACTTTTTTGTTGGTTTTGTTCTGGTTTTCTACAGTGGACAGGCCAAAATCCCAGCAAATCAGAACTTCTGGTACCATAAGGCGAACTTCTTCTTTGGACACAATAACAGGACCTTACCTCACAGGACAGTGGCCACGTGATCCCCATGTACACTACCCTTCATGTATGAAAGATAAATCTACTCAGGTAAAAGCTGTAAAACAAGACAACAGAGATGTTTCAGATAATTGATGTCTACTCAATTTAATTCTGAAGAAATGTGGATTCACGTAATCTTACTATAAATATGAAACCCTAAAAATAGGGTACGGTAGTCTTTTTTTAAGCAGTGTCAATGCAGTAACATGGTGTGTGATGTTAATATTTTTATGCTTTTAGAAAACAGTTATTAAAAATAATTTTCGGTATGTGGGCAGATCTGTTGAGGCTAAATAAGCAGATTTCCATCTCAGCCTCGTATCTGGTTTATTTTTAAGCTGGTATATGCAAAATTATGCTGAGTGTTATTTAAAAAAAAAGAAAAAAATTCCGTATAGCAGTGGCTGACAAACTAAAGAGTTTACTAAATCAGGGTAAAAAATCTGCCAGTCTCGAAAAGTGTATTTGTGTCCGGGGGGGAATTGAGGGAAGGCTAACTTGAGGTTATTGATGGCCTGATACCCTTGTGATAGCCTTGGATTCTCTTCAGGGCTCTGTCCTTAGCAGGAACCTCTGGCAGGTGGGCTGCTGTGGCATTCATACTGCTCTTTGGCTAGAAAGGTGAATGTTATTTCTTGCCTGCTTCCTCCTCATCCTGGAGCTTGTTGCCCTCAAAGATAATCACTGTCAAACAAATAAAACCCACATAATTCTAACCCCCCCAAATTATTAGCAGAGGAACTGCATTCTTTATTTTTCAGCAGTGCTGTTGGGATATGGAGTAAGTCATCTGAGTTTGTGTTCCAAACTAAGTTGGAAATGAAAAGAAACTAACTCTTTGGTTGTATTTTCAGTCTATAGGCTGTGTAGGGATGGTTTTTAATTAGTTACTTATCTCTTATGCCGTGATTCTGGTCCATAGTTGTGGATCTTTAAATAGATTCTGTGATTCTAGTTTTTTGTGTAATACTGAAGTTTTCTGGACAAGTATATATAATTCTCCTCATCTCTTCAAAATACGGTGTAATGCAACACAGGAAGTCCTCTAATGGGGGAAAGATAAGCATAGAATACTTAGAAAAGAAAAAAATCTATCTGTATGATTCAGAAATCTTATTTAATGACCTTGGTAGTCTGATGATTAAAATGTTCTAAGAAAATTTTTAGGAACTGTATAGGACCCTTTAAGAAAATGCTGTCTTCATGTCCTGCTTATTTATTTTAAAAACAGTCAGTTTTAGCAAAAAAGAAGCAGCAGTCATATTTACTGTCATGAAAGATTTACCTAAAAAACTCTAAATCCTGGACTGGCTTTCAAGGTGCCTTCCTTTTACAATACTATTCCTTGAAGATCTTTTCTGGTTTGAAACCATAATTTCTATTCAGGAGATTTTCAGTAACCTGCTTTGTAGTTATTGTATTTCTCAATTCCTCTCTTAAAACTTATATCCATATCAAACTTTGCAAGTACTGTTATGAATAGAAAATATAGAATATTTTAACATTCACAAACAAACCTTTTCACCAGTTACAGAAAAGATAAACAAACTTGTTCTATAAATATTTGAGCTTCAAGTATTTGGCAGTAAAATTGCTTTCTTAGTGAGCTCAAGTAAGTGTTTAGGTTATGTGAACTGTTGGCTGCCTCCCTTTGCCTCATTCAGAAACTGAAAATGAAGTTTTACCTTTTCAGCATAATCAAATGTAACAGAGAAGAGAGGCAGTACTGTTGTCATTGCAAATTAAAGTATTATTTCAAAGGGATAGGAGCAGGGTTGGTGGATATCTTCTAACAAAGAATTATGTTAGCCAAACTCGAGCATGTATCAGTGTTTAGGTTGAGTCACTACTTGGGACTATACGAATATGTAAAATGGAACAAGCATAGTGATTTGCACAGTGATTTCCAGTTTGTTTTTTTGTTTTGTTTTCAAATGAAACGCTCCTAGAGAGGCTTGTAGATGATCATAAAACAGTGTCTTATGTTTTGGTTGTGTGTGTGGCTTTCTGTTGTTTGAGCTCTGTGTAGTTTGAAGTATATCTAATTTCAAGAACTAAGGATGATTTCCAAGTTGTTGATAGGATGCATGCATGGCAAATTAAGTTAAATTAAATTAAAGCCTTGTACTTTGCCTGGGTACCAGCACAAGTGCTTCTGCTGCTTCATGTTTGTTGGCTAAGTAGCAGTTTAAGTCATGGGAGTTTATATAGTTTACACTATTTAAAAATAATAACACTTGGTAGTTTAGCAGAATGGAAGATGTTACAAACAAAATAAATAAAAAAAGATAATGGAAATCAGTAAACTATTTTTTTATGAGCATGTTTCATTGGGGAATAAATTATCTCTTGCTTTACTTCTAAACTCGTGAACAGTGCTGTCAGTATAACTTACATTGTAGGTGGAATAATTATTTCTCTTTCAAGGGTACTTTTTGTCCCTAATTAAAATCCAAATTTTAATTTAAACTAATTTGAAATCCAAATTCTGTGCAATTTTGTTAAGGTGATGATTATGGCTGCTCTTAGAATTCTTGTTTTTAAAAAAAGAGAGTCAGTTTCTGGTCTTCACTGTGATCAGATGAGCCCTCAATGAGTTTTGTTCCAAGTCCTTGTTCCCCGCTTAAGTTCTTTCAACCTATATAATGCTCATGAATAAAACACTTCTTCTTTTTCTAAAATAAAACCATGATTAAAAAAAAAATCAACAATATCTCACTATTTAAATAGAGGGAACAGAATTTTGTTTGGTTTAGTTTCTGTTGCATCTTGGAGAATGCTCTGGTTCATATTTCTGTGTCCCTCTTACTTACCCCAAATGTTTTGATTTAAAATAGAGAAGTGAGGTTGTTACATTGGCTTTTGGAAAAATATACTGTTACACTATGCATTGTGATACTTACACTGTTCAGTATTGCTCAAAATTCTGCATGTGTTTATATTAGTGTATGTATGTTCGCATACACACAGAACTAGCTGATCTTTAGGAAGTAGCGTGTTTTGGATAATTAGAGGTATGCAATTTTATTTAGGAGTGTTTTAAGTATTTCAGAAATACAGGTAAACTTTCTATTATAGGAAGTTACATGTGTTGATATACTTTGTGATCCCCTTCCTGAGCTCTTCCACAGTCCTACTTTCCACTCCTTTTGTAGAATCGGAACTTTTCATTAAGGTCATTTAAAACTCAGTATAGTTTTCTTCCCCGTTTTTTCTGTCTCTGTTGGGAGCCATTTCTTACACTGCTTCTTCATGCTTCATCATGTAAGTATTTCCCCTTCACAGTGTATGGAATAATTCAATGTTCAAATGGTTATCCCTAACCTTGAAATCTTCAGAAACATTTGGATAATTGTCAGAGTTGATTAATATAATTATTTGACAGTAGCTAAATAATATAAAAGATACTTACAAAATTAAAAAGGAGAGATTAGAGATAAACATGATGTTGATGCCAGTTAAATATTGCCAGTTAAAGTTGGTCTATGTAATCTTTCTCAATCTAAATAATACAAAGAAATGAACAAATGACCAAATGGAATATTAGCCAGTGATTTCCAATTGACAACTTAAACTGGAGTCCAGTATTGTTGGATATGCCTTTCTCATTGTATATGGCAATTAGGTATTACACAAATGAAGACAGTTTGCAAAATGGCTGTCAGAATTTTTGTTTCTCTCTCATCTAAAGAATAATGCAGAGTTATTAGGTTGAAATACTTGGCTAAAATATGTTTTTCTTACGTGTAGGTCAAGGCTTTAATTGGAGTGTCATTAGACACTTTTTTTTTTCCTTCTGGGTAGAAATTTTTTTGCTCTAAAATGAACATCATAAACCAAGAGGCTCAATTCCATGAAAGTTTTTTATTGGTGTATTAGTTGTCATTGATTTTATGAGATAATTTAATGATGTACTGTGGACGAAAGTTACAGGGAAGAAGATACATGTGTCATAGAGCTATGAATTTATCATTCTAACTTTACTTAACCTGTCTTATGTTTAGGAGTTATCATCTGCAGTCAAATTAACTTCTAACTCCTTAGGCCATTTCTTTCTGTAAAATTTCTAGAGGGCCTTTGAATACTTTGGAAATATCTGAAAACCCATCAGTTTTTATCTTCTAGTGTTGCTCTTGGGTTTCTTCTGAATGTGGAATTTCTTCAAAAACATTACTGCTTCCCCTGTAAAACCTAGACTTGTGTAGATATTCTGGGATGCAGGCTAGGTATTGTAATTGAAGGGAAGGACTGTCAATAAAATGTGAGATGTTTAGAGTAATTCAGTCTTATTTTAGGTTTAAGTAGGTTGGTATTCTATGCAGTCATTCTGATCTAATTGAAGTGGAAAGAATGTAGGTGTATGTCCCTGACATGGGTGGAAAAGCAAGGCAGAATTACTTAATGTATTGGAAGAAGTGCTCATCTCTAAGGGGCTGGGTGAGTCTTAGTGAAGACTAAGAGACCAACCATATATGGTGTTTTCAGCACGTCCTGTCCCACGTGTCAACTGAAGTGGACCATGAACCTTCACAGTTTGAAAACTAGTCATCCACCTCTTGTAGCTGCAGCATGTGTTATGTAATATTTTCAAGGTTCTCCTAAAATCTTAGTTTTTCAGACTTCCAGGATTAATCCTCCTTCAGGAAGTTCAGTACATACTTGTGTGATGCATACTTTTGCTTCTGCTCTGAAATATTACCAGTTTTGCAGGTAGTGCCTGACCTCTCTTACTGTGTTCCTGACTTGAGATGTGGCAACTTTGGTTTTGTTTATTGTGACTCGGGCATTTTTCTTCGAACACGATTTTGAGTTATATTTTTACTTCCATTATTTTTTAATATGTTTAACACATGGGAAGTACACTTGCAGCTTCGAGTGAAGGCTTCCATGGATAAGCCTGTTTTGTGGAAGTTGTAAATAAAGATGAGAAAACAGTTTTCATGAAATGTGACAGATCATGGGTACCATACACCTCCATTTTATTTGTGATCTAAATTGACAGCATTTAAAGGAGATACGAGGTGGTCATACGTGAGCTAAACTTTAAAAAACAGAATTTCTATTTGAATGCAGCAAGTCTGGAATGCTTCTGTTTGTTTTGCTTTTTTAAAAGCTTTTGCTCGAATATCAAGATTTGGGGTTATGAACCCCAAACTAATCTTCATATAATGTGGATTATAGTAAATTAGAAACAGCATTTTGTAGGGTTTGAGGAGGACTAGCTCACTATAATATTCTGGTACCCCTTATGTTATTTTTTTAATGCTTTTTCTTTTTTTCCATCTGACTCCAAATAGCACAGTAATATAACATTGCCTGACTTCAATACTGTGCTGGAAACATCATATAGTATTTGTAATCTAATGCTGCTAATAAAATTGAGGCTCACGAAGAGTCTGCCCCCTGTATACTGATGGTGTATATGTATTATTGAAAGGTTGAGTTTGGACTCAATTTACCAGAGGTGGAAGCAACCATATAATCTTTGTCTCAAGGGAGGTAGTATTTGAGTGGAAGAGAATGTCAAAGCATACTTGAGAAAGTACAAAATTTAGTATTAAATGAATGGATGTTTTCTAATTTTTACTTTTGATTTTCAACTGCAATATAAGGAGTCTTACCTCTCTGCTGACAGTCACTGGTGGTGTTGCTGAAGGTCTTCAGGGTGTTGTTACTACTTTGTTTTTTGTCCTTGCTATCTGGATCAGTATCTGTGCTTATTAAAAAATACAAGCAAGCTCTTGCTTTCTACGTATTTGTTTTGTTTTTGAACAATGTACTTCTCTTTATTGAGAAAGTCACTTTGGGTTTTTAGATTCCTGGTATCTTTTCTCTTTATTAAGACGTAGTTGAAAGGCTATGAGTTTGTAGTGATCCCTGCTATACCCTCCTGCACTACAAGTAAGTATTTAAACACCCAAAATGCCTGCTTCTCCTTTATCCTGGAGTTGTTCTCCAAATTATGGAGCAGTATTGTATTCAGAAAACATTCTTTGGAAGATAAATTTTCATAAAATTCCCTTTGCATTGCTAGTTTTCTGTTTCTGTATAATTGTATGGTTCCAGCTGTACTTGGGATGTAGTAAAATGCTGTAAGAAAAGAGCAATTTAAATTGGAAAGTAAGTTGTAATAGGTTGTGAAAGCCCGTGATTCTGAAAAAGAACCAAATTTTTCCCATTTTCTCTAGTTCCTTAGAAATCTGCAAACCACTTCAATGTTTTAAAAACCATTTAAAACCAACACAATGGTTTTCACACATTTCAGGGAGATGGTAAGTACCCAGTCTGCTAAAACAAGTAATTACTTAGAACGTGGCTCTGTTAAAATGCAGAGCAAGTGGATGCACACACAGTTAGCACACTCATGTGGCAGAGGCTGTGCTTTGGGTGATGAGAGTCAAGGATTGCCTGGCTGAGGCACATCTGTTTTCCACATATTTTTAAGTAGCTGTTTTAACTGTTCACTTTTGATTTTTTTTTTTTTCAGTAACCATATTACCTTCCTGGTTTCTTCCCCACACTCAAATAGAAGGGGGTATTATATGACAGAATCATGTAACAAGCACACAAAACTCTTAATTTTTTATATGAGGACTTGTTTTTTTCTTTTCTGGGAACATGCAGCAAAAAGTTCAGTACAGATTTTTTCAGTTTTGCTTTCTAGTCATCCACACAGCTTGCTAGGCCTTTGGGTGACATATTCCTGATGGTGTAAAAATAGCAGAGAAAAAGCCCTGCTGAAACCATGGAAAGTGCAGAAAACACAAGTGGGATATGTAGCCCTGTGCACACAGAGAGACCGATCACATTAAATACTAGCACTGATGAGTTAGTGGTGTGGGGCTGTAGGCTGTGTAATACTGTGGCAGTGTGGTGGTTGTGAAGGTGTAGCCAGTGCTCTGAAATTACAGTTCTGTGCATGATGGTACCATGCCTGGCCTAGCATGTTTGTGTAGGGTGGCCTGGCCCTGGGGGGCTGCTCCCACCTACCTTTGCAGGGCAACAAGGAGCTGCAGGCATTGGTTTTGTGGTGTTCCCCAAGGTGGTGTCCAGCTTCCTTCCTGAGCAGAATGGTCTCTGGGATTGCCAGGCCTCTGATTGCTTCTTCAGTAACGTGCACTGTCCTCATGCTTTGTAAATGCAAGTTTGCAAAGCCTTGGTTTTCTATATTGCTTTTTATTTATTGAGACTATTACTGCTGCATATCAGATTCTGAAATTTATGCTTCATGTATAATGCCTAAACTCTGATGCTGCCTAAACGGTAAAGCAGTAATTTGTGCCAGAAGTTTTTCTTACCTGGAGAATTAAGTACAGTGTATTTTCTTTTTTTTTTTTCCCTCTAGACACCCAGCTGTTGGGCTGAAGAAGGAGCAGAAAAGAGATCACATCAGCGCTCAGCATCATGGGGAAGTGCTGATCAACTGAAAGAGGTGAGAAGTTTTGCACAGTGGAGCTTTTCAAGTTTTGATAAACCCAAGACGTTTTTTAAGCCCTATCTGGAGTCCAGGAAACTGCACCCTTTCCCTCCCCTTTATTGCTTTTGAAACAGATTTTACCTCCAACGTAAGAGTAGTTTTGACAAGTGATTCTTATTTTAGCTTGTTGAAATTTCTCCCTGCATACTATCAAGTTTTTACTGTGAAAGAGTGATCAGAGTGAGCATTGAGGAACCAGCTTGTTGCTTACTAATTTTTCTGTTCAGGGTTACCTTAATTAGCTTTCTGTTCTTTAATGATGCTCTCCTGAAGGAGGCAGAGTGTAAGGTGGTATGTTAGCATATTTTTGTTTAGAAATGTTGTTCAAGTTTTAGGTTAGAGATAGAGAGGACACCACTTTCAAAAATGAAAAAGTGTTGGTACAGTAATGGTATGAGCACTTTAATCACACGTATTTTGCTATAGACTGCAATTGCAACTAGGAAGAACCCACCAAAAGGGAAGTGGATTTGCATCATGAGAAAGTAGGTATAGTAAAATGTTCTCCAGATCAGCTGAAATAACAGTGTTACAGTTTTTTCCCAATAACCTCCATTTTGTCTAGAGTTTATGTAACTAGGTCTGTCCAGAACCTAATAAGTGGCCTACATTTGGCATCATGCCACTGTCAGGAAGTGTGTAGCCTCTCTTCAAGAACCGTGCTTTTCTTTTTATAAAATGAATCTTGCAGCATGTTCCCATGAGGTGGAACTTTTCACTGGTACTCTAGGCTTCTTGCATCCTCTCTCCTGACTCCCTGTTGAATAGGGCATTCAAAAATGAGAGCAATATCTAAGGAGATAATGTTAGAGGCAGTATATAGTTCCCTTCTGGAAAGCCATTGATAGGAAGAGTAGTTGTCAAAAGGAGTTTAATTACTTTAATTTTAAAATCAGATTTGACAAATACAGAATAATCTTGCAATCCAGTGGTGGCAATAGATGAGGAGCTGGGCCAAAGAGAGGTTAATCCAAAGAGGGTTGTCTGTTCCCACCTCACTGAGTACCTCTTATGAAACCCTGATGTGTTGGTACATGGGCCTTCAGTTGCCTGGATGACTTCAGCTGTGAGGAAGCACTCAGAATCACAAATGAAGTGACCAGAAATTAGTGCAGAAGGAGTTTTGTTTCTGAAAAGTCTTGTCTTAAAACAGTCCACCAGCACAAAGAAATTATAGCATGGACAGAAGTAGCATCTGTTTTTCTAGGATAACACTTCCTTGCTTTTACTGAGACACTATCCTTCATATTCTGGCAGTTCCCTATCGGGTTGTGCAATAAGCAGCTCTTCTTCACCACAGGACTGTGGCTGTCAGTGATAGTGAAACCTTCAGCATGGAAGCAAGTCTCTGCCAGTTGATAGCAGTGACCTATTGTGCTAGGTTGCCACCCTCTTTATGTACTTGACCACAAGAGAAAGATAAGAAATGTGTGGCCAATGTGTTTCATAGTTCCTTTTTTTTGATAGAACACTGCAATGGACAAAATAGGTTGTGTTGGAAGGGAGTTGTTTCTGTCTAAACTTTGCAACGGTTGTTCACTCTCAAACCTGCCCTTGTCTTCTCCAGCTTACAGTTCTTCCTCTTCCTCTGTTTTCCTTTTTCCAGCTTCTCAGGCCAGTTTTCTTGCCCTTCTAGTTCCTCAAGTTCATAGTCCCAGTGTCATTGTGTGTTTATTATTCAGCCAATACTCACCTGCCTTCCCCTGTTTGAGCTCTTACTCTGTTACTTTTCAGCTCCTTATCAGTTCTGTCTCTGCATTGTTTGGTTTCTGTTTTATCCCTTTCTTTTTCCTTTTGCTCACCTTTAAACCTGGGGGATGGGGGCTGTTAAGAGTTTGTTCAATACCAACAGTTTCTGGGCACTCAGTTTCTTTGTGCCACAGTAATCTGCAGTTCCTGGAAGGATAAATTCTTTGGGGCAGTTCTGTTCAAACTGTAAAACCCACTAGAGACAGAATTACTAGTAAATGTAACTGCCAGTTCCAGACATCTTTCTTGAACATGTGCAAACTGAAATTTTTGCTAAAGCTTCACCAAATGCGAAGATTCTTCCAAGGGACCTTTGCAGCATAAAGAACCCCCAAGGCAAATGTTTGACTTTTTCATCCAAAGCACTGGAAAACAGAGCTTCTCAGGGAAAAAGCTACAATAATGTGTTTTGGCACATAAAATGGTAAAAATCTCTTCTGACCCCTTTTCATTCTGAATTGCATTCTTTAAAACACCTCTGCTACTTGTAATGAAGTTGTTGATGTGAAGGAGATAGGAGAGCAGAACGTTGCATAGTAGACTTCAGAGAAAATTTGAGAAAGCTGTGGACACCTGAAAGCAAGAGCTTAAGTAATGAATATAAAAATATCACCTTCTCCTGGGCGACTGCATTTGTTATGTGTAACGTAGGTAACAGTGTTCTGCTCAGCATTTTGAATTGTTTCCCATAGCATTCAACAGTAAACATGTAGATAACTGTGTGTAGTTTCCTTGGCTTGTCTTAGGAGTTTGGATTCATGTTTTCTTGCTTCAGCAATTAATGGAGTGATTTTTAGCATGTATTTTTTATTACATTGCTGACATAAACTAGGCAAACACTTGTACACAGAATTTTAATTGATTTTGATAAAATAAGATTGAATATGCTATTAAGTTTAAAAAAATATTTTTCCTTGGTTAGTTTGAGTACTGTTACAATCAAATAGATTTGTTTAATACAACTGGTTAGCTCTTTGAAAAAGGTCTGCATTATAAAAACTAAAAGTGGGTGTGGTATAGACTTAAGATCCCAAGCAAGAAAACGAATTCTGTATTACCATCTAAAAAAAGAATTTCACTTTGTGTAGTGAAGCTTATTTTGCCCTTGATTGAAATAATAATGTGTTAGGATCGAATCTGTCTAGCACTGAAATAGACACTGTTTGCTTTCCTGTAGTGGGTCTATTAAAAATTTAAATGTCCCCTGCTGTCTCTATGAACTTTGTAATGATAGAGTGTACATTTTTAATAATTTCTTGACAAAATCTACTTTTTAAAAATTTGTTTATTCTGAAGGGTGAACTGTTTGATTTTATGAAACCTTGAGTTAACTCGCGTAAAATAGTGCCAAACTGCTTTAACATTATTTTAATAGATACACATCTTGACTGGGAGATAGAGATTGCTCTCAAGTCTTTGTACTGGACACAAACCAAGTAGTGGTTTGAACTGCTGGTATTTTTTTCCCCTTGCAACCTGAAGAGTTAGTTTGAAATTCTTTGAAGTTGTTCAGGGACAATTTTAGATACAGCTTACCCTGAATTGGAATTTACCCAGAACTGGGAAAAACCCACTGTTTAAAACAAGTAGTTTTTGCTCTGTATAGGTTTTTAAAGACATATTTCAGACAGTTGATATTTCACTTCCCTTAAGCAGCTCTGTGTGCTGTACCTGTTACATGGACACCAGCAGCCCCCCATTGGAAGGTCCCTTCTGCTCCAACAGAGTACTTGAAAAGGATGTGGGAATAAAAGAGAATTCAATATGAGAGCTTGCATGCCTTATGTGCTTTCATATACCAATTGAAAGATTGTATTCAAAGGTTTAGAGTGAATTTCTAATGCTTGTTTTGCTCTTTGACCTACTCTTAACTTGTTTATTAACAAATGGCTAATGAATGAGATGGAGCTCACTCATTAACAAGGGGTTCATGGTTTGTTCAACAGTAGGAAGTTACCATGTTGTGTAACCTGACCTGGAGAAATACAACCTGTTGACTGGTAAATATTAATGAGCATTTGGAGAGTGACATGTTCCTTTATATTAATAGTCTGCATCTAGGTCCCTTCAAAAGGGAAGAATTACCAGGATATTCAGATTATCCCGGTGTTGTAAAGAACCAAGGTAATTTGGTTATTTCTCAGGTTTTTGCCATTAGTTATATTCTATTGCATGCATATTACAAGTGGCATAGACAAAATTCGTATTTATTTCAAGTACACTTTGAGTTGTAAAAATATTCAGCAAGCAAAAAATATATTTATAGGGTTTTTTCCTAAATTGTTTTTTTAATAATCTGTGATGGTCATCTTATCTTTTGCTGTATGACAGTAAACCATCAAAGCTGAACTGAAAGTTTGTGCCCTGAATGACTTTGTGTAGGTTTATTTCTGATAAGATGCACTAATCTTTGTGTTTTCTTGGGGATTTTTGTTGTTGGGTTTTTTTTATAAATTACTTTGAAGTAGGTGAAGAGTCTTTCCAATGCATGAGCAACATTGCAGAGAATGATTGCTGGAAGAAGAAAGGCTGACCATTTGAATTGGTATACTAAAATACTTGTAATATTTTATGGACCTAAGTGCACATATGTGTAAGGCTTTGATGTCTTTGACGAGTGGATGCTTTAGGATACAAATCTTTTGTGGTGATTTACATGTGTTCCTTAATATTATTGTGTATGCCCCAGCCACATTCATGGTCAGGACTTGGGCGTGTGAAGGAAGTGGTGTCCCAAGCCCTTTCTGTTTTAGCTGCTCTGTGAAAATGGAGCGTGTTGTTACTGCACCTCTTCCTGTTAAGTAGTAGTGGCTTTATTTCAGTTTGAGACAGAGAATAATCAGCAATTAAAAGGTAGTCTTGTAGAAGAAAAAAGCTGTTGCAATTTCAGGATTATCTTTAGCAAGTGGCAGATTCACCGTGAACTCCCCTTGATGAAGAGATGGAGCATAATTTAGTTTAGAGGATTTCATATACTCGGCGACACTGCCTGCTTGCTGGTTGCCTGTACTGGCAAGCCTCTGTCTCCTGTGTCCAGAGCATAAATAAGAAATTTATATGCCCATCTTTACTTTCTCATTTTTTGTCCAGTGGTAACTACCACATCATGGACATCCATGGTCCTTCAAGTTCAGGGTTAAGGACATATGTTCTGAAAAGGCATATCTATTTCTTCTCTGCACTGCATGTTTGGCTTAAGTGATCATATCAGTTCCAGATACAGTCAAATTCTTCAACAATTTTTCATCTTTCTGTTTCTTCTGGATGACTCTTTCTGTCTGTTACTGTCAAGAACCTACTGTCTGCCAAACTATACATAGTCTTGAGGTGGCTGAGAGAACCTTAAATTGCAGGGATCCATGATTCCTTTCACAGTATCAGAACTTCAAGGCTTTGGCTAGCCTAGAGACATACCAGCCTATCAACACTCTTCCATTTAGTGCTTTCACTATCTGAATTGTACAGTGAGAGGCTATGTTCTCAAAGATTTGCAAGCTGTTTGTGACAGAAATCAGTCAGCCAGATCTCTGAGGTGGAATTGTGTAGGTAGTTTTTTTGAATAGTGTGCTCCTAGGGAAAGCCCAGAAACCAGATTTCATTTAAATTAAACAGTGCATTTAACTTTTTACTAGGAGGAAGTATTCAGCATCAAGGAGACACAGTAGAAGTGAAAGATTTATATACAGCACTCCCTATGCTTTCTGGTTATTATTGTAGCCAGCCATCTCTATCCACAGCTCTCTTCTGATCTGGACATCATTTTTCTCTTCTGTTTTTAAGTTTTTAAAGGGGAAGATGAAGATTATTTCCCAGTTCTCTCCATTCTCCAACATTCCAATGTAAGACATAAATATTTGTAGATGTATGTATACTTACCTGCTTGGTTTTTCATCTATGGAGTTAGGTTTCATAGTGGCTGGTACTCCTACAGGGAGAATGGGGAAGTTCTGGACAAATTAATTTTTTTAGAGATGAAATATCTCTTCAGACTGCAAAATTTCTTCCAACATGGTACTTGAGTTGCATCCTTCATCAAGAGATTATGACCCAGTTCTCTAAATGTAGCTCATCTGTGTTAGTAACTCAGTTGTATTACAGCTCTGTTTTTCTTGATGCGTATTATATGCAGACCCTTTTGGAAGTCTGAACTGTTTGTCTGTTGTTGAAAGATGAAAGTTTTCAGCCATTTCTGAGTAGCAGTTCTCTGAATATGGGTAATGAGCTGTGGCAAGAGGTGATATGAAGCCTCAAAGGTAGATTGTTCTTTAGTGAGTGCTACCAGAAACATCACAAGGAAAATTCCATGGCCTGGAGCAAAGCTCCATCCAAACCACACTGTCATCTCTGACACTTGAAGAGTGACATGAAGTGATTCTGTACCACAGAGCTGCTTTGCAAGAGTACTAGTGATATATTTAACTACTTCGAATTAACCACACAGTGTGTGTACTTGTAAGCTGTCACTCAGAAAGAGAGGTTAGTTTTCAGCTGGAGAAGTTCTTTGACAAATGAATTCCATGTGCATTCATTCTCCTTACTTGCCCTTCAGGTTTTTAAAAATTGTATCTCTTTCTGAATTAAAAATGAAATGGGGCTATATGTGGCCTTTTATTCCAGTGTGGTGAGCCTGAGGAACAGTGGGATTTGAGCCCAAAGGGAACAAATTATCCAGTTTTAAGGAAGAGTCTGTACCTGTTATGTGAATTTACACAGTCTAAACTTCTGAGACAATGTTTATAGAGGTAAATGCTTGCTTTCATGTAGAAATTTCCCAGGAGGAATAAGTAAGTGGAGGAATCCCCAGATGAAATTCTTTGGTTTCTTGTTAGGGAGGAGGTCAAATGGATAATGTCTTTAGTTGTATTTGACATTTAAAATATGTAACTTTTGATTAGACATCTTTGCAGCAGACAGCAGAAAAGATAATTCTGTCTGTCTCAAGGAATCTGTGATAATTTAGCCTGCAGGGAAATGCTATTAAATGTATTAAATAAGGTCTCTAAGATGAGTAATGCATTTTGATTGTCAGTTGTTTGTGAAGGCGCTTTGCTTTTATGATGAATTATTATTGAAAAACTTTGGTTTGGTTTAAGATCAAATAAATTAAACTGCAGGCTTCAAAGTCCCCAGCTTAAACCATTATAGGTCAGAAATTGCTACAAATTGTCATTCTTACTGCTTTTGTTTGCATCAGTTATTGCAGTCCTTGTGTGTAAATGGGAAAATTCAGTAATTAAACTCAGCCTGTTGGTGTATTCAGGTTGGTGAATAGGGCAGATACTTTGGAGAAAGTATCTGATAAGCATAAAGAAGCTTTAATGCAATCCTATATGCCTATAAAATCCTCCAAAGAGAATTAAAATGTCCGTGATTCATTTTCTATGTGAAGATTTGAGCAGTTACCCGTTCGGTAGCTCATTCTCACTTCACCTGAACTTCTTTCCAGCAGATTGCCAAACTGAGGCAGCAGCTTCAGCGCAGTAAGCAGAGTAGCCGTCACAATAAAGAGAAAGAACGTCAGTCACCTCTCCATGGCAACCATATAGCAATCAGTCAGACTCAGGTAAGTAGCCTCCTGCCTTATCAGGGTTGGGAGAATGGCCTGCTGAGCCTTCCCATCTGTCTTCTGTTTGTGCTCTTGTGTGGCACACAGAAATGCTTAACAATCTGATGCTACCACATCTTCGCTGAAGTTTATCTGATGGTCGTCATATAATTAAAAAAAGGAGGGTTGCAGCAGGGTAGCAACTGAAATGTATTATGATGCTGTAAAAATTGTGAGCGTGACCAGATAAGGCTGTGCTTCCAGCAATATGTACTTGCTTTCAAGACTGATTTTTGTGGTATGCTTTTAGAAGTACCTGCTCCTCTGGAAGGTATTGGCCTGTCAATTTTGCAACCTAATTTCTTCTAGACTAGTTAAAAAGTAAAAATAGAAAATAAAGAGGGTAACAAAGCAGGGTGCAATGCCCAATGCAGTGTTTGCTGTAGTCATTACAACCTGCCAGCAAAACTGAAACCCAATTACAGTTCCAAAGCTCAAGCAAGATTCAGTCAATGACTTCATGAATCTTAAGCCACTTGTAGAAAGCATTTAATCATTTGACAGTGCAGACATCTGAGCCTGATTAAATTTCACCTGTTGGATCCTTAAATTGGACCGTGTTAGTAACAGGCCCCTGTTTGAACACCTGAAATGTTGGCTCTGTTCTGGTATTTCCTACTTCCTGACTGCCTTTTTAACTGCCTTGTGTTTTATAAAGGAGTGGTTGAGCTGTGATGGCTGATCCTTTATGGTCCTTCTTCTGTTTGGATAAAATTTTGTAGTTAAAACCTGATCTTGGGATGAAGACATATAGGAATTTGATATTCTTCCTGAACCTTTTATGCCTTTATAACAAGGGATTCTACTACATTTTGCACAGGAAAGGGTTTGCTTTACATTTCAAAGTAAACTGTGGCAAGTACCTGTGCCATTATAGTCACAGTACAAACAGTCTTTGGATTGAAATCCATCTAGGACATATGTTTCTTCATGGCATTCCTTAGTACTTGGAGCTTACTTTGTCATTGCTTGTGCAAAGTTTTGATTTCTCAAGGTGTTCTCTGATGAAGCTGTCCTGCAGGTAGTGTTTTGTCAGAGTCAAAGAATGCTTGCAAGATCACCTTTGGAGCTGCACATTGTGCAAGGTTCACTTGATAAGAACTCAGAAAAAATTTTTACATTTTGTCTTAAGCATCTTGTGATTCTGTGAGCAAGAGGAGAACACATTGACAAGCGAGCGCTGTTCATGGCTGTCAGTGTGGCTGCTGCCAAGGTGAAGCTTTCAAGGTTGATGTGTGTGCACTCCTGGGAATGTTTTCTGTTGGTAACAGAGCTCCGCTCCAACAGGCTTTTCTGAAAACCATATTTGTATTTATTTATGTGATTGATTCTTAAATTCAGGATGATTTCTGTTACAACCTTTGACATAAAGTTCTGAAAAGCTATAAGCTAATGAATGAATGTTTTGTTTTTCGTTTGCTAAAGCCAACCAAAAGAGAATAAAAGTGCATTAAGTGAATATTTCAGTTGAGTTGTTAAGCTTTAGCAATGTTATGAAATGCCTTTTGATCGTGTTAAAACATCAGCATCAGTGCTCCACATGCTCCCCATTCCCCTATGGTGTATTCCATAGTCTGTGCATCTGGGAAGTACATATATATGTCTACTTACTGATAAGGGAAGTAGTAGAATGCTTTGATTATAGAATACTACTATGAGTTAAGTAGAAGTGATTTTATTGGATTTAGATTTATACAGGCATTTGTTTTTATTTGAATTCACCAAGTGAAGGTGATCTTCTAGATGGCAAAATTAATACACAGTTTCTTACTGATGTTTTTATCATTGGTCTCAGACTTCTGTCTTTATTCCATTTTCAAATCATGTTGATTTCTACCTTCTAGGCTTGTATTTCCAGATCAGTCCCTATGCCACTGTCAAACATTTCAGTGCCAAAATCAACTGTGTCACGTGTGCCGTGTAATGTAGAAGGAATAAGTCCTGAACTGGAAAAAGTATTCATTAAGGAGAACAGTGGAAAAGAAGAAGTATCCAAGGTAAGCTTATAGTAACATGTTTATGGTGGTTTTTTTCTTTGTAATCTATAAACACATGGAAAACCTTCCTCGTGAGAAACTTTCCTTTTGGCTGAAATTACAAATAATTTTCTTCAAAGAAATGTTTGTTTGAAAACTTTGTTTCAATGTTTTAGCATGGTGGGGTTTTTTTTTGGTTTTTCTGTTTTATTTTTAAAGGGCTTCTGCCCAAACATACTTTGTTTAGAGTGCCCTTTCTGTAGAGAACTTGAAAGTTTTTGTGCAAAGTGCAAGTGCTTGAAAATTCAGATACTTCAGGCTGCAGTAATAAATAATTAGAGACCAGAAGATTATTGTATTTGCTTCTTTTTGCATTCTTTTTCTTGAGAAAGATGTAAGTTCGCTGTGCTATGCTCTCCTTTTTTTGTTTAATGCTTTTTTTCCCCATAAACTGAATGTGGACCATTTTACTTCCATGAAACCTGCGGGAGAGCTCTGCATGGGAAATACTAACAAATGAGGCAGCTTTGCATTAGAGCATTGGAGTTGTCATTAAGGATCTTAGTTCTTTGATGACACTTTAAATGTGAAATACTTGGTTTACAGCCACGGTTTCCTAAATAGCCAGTGAAAATTTTCTGCTGTGGAATAAACTACTCCACTGTTTTTCTAATCTTCTCCAAAGTGTAGGTGCTTTTCTCATGAATGGTCATGTAATAGCAATTCAGTATATGAGTCAAGCTATAAAACTTTAATCACAGGTTTAAGATTCTAAAACCTGATATTTGTAGTTCTTCGTTTTGGTAGTAAACTTTAAAAGTTTTGGAGTGATTTTGGCTTCTCCAGAGTCTTACTTGTGTGGGCAAACCAGTCTTAAGATTGAAATATTGTAGTAGTAGAAGTATTATGGTGTTTACTTTCCTTTGGATGTCTTATTCCTTTAGAAGAGGTGTGTATTATAACAGGGGAATAAGGAAAAAAAAATCAGATGTGAAAACTGAAACGGTAAGCCCAAATCAATAAACCTTGTTGCACCATCTTCAAAGAGGGAATTAAAATGTATGTATTGCAGTGGAACCATTGATGTTGCTATGGCTAGGGTTGTAATATCCTATAGTGAGAGGATATTTCATTTATCTATCAGACAGATCATCTTTGTAAATGTTGTCCTTGGTTTTTAACAGCTTATTGCTTGGGATGCAGAGCTCTCCTGTGTTACTGAATGTACTGACTCTGATCCAGCAAAACAGTTAAGCACATACTTAAGTGCATTGTTGGATTTGGGCCAGAGGTGCTCAGCAGTTTACAAAACCAAGGCAATAGTGAACCCTTCCTCCAAACATTTAGCTGGCAAGAGTTTTCAGACACAAAAGAAAGTCATAAATCAGACATTGCCCTTGAAGTCAAGTCCATCTTTGTGGGCAGAGGTTGTTTCCTGCTATGTAACTGTTAATTTCTGTAAAGTCTGGTCATGTGGGACCTAAAGTGGGACTCCTAGTGCTGTCTTTGAGATTACTAGGTCTCAGTTTGCTTATGGAGGATCATAACAAGATCGTAATTTACTTAATCTTACTGCTGGTGAACTTTCTCCTAATACAACAGTTTAGCTGTGTTTTAGCCTGGGGGAGTTGGGGTAGCTAGGTTAAAGGTTAGGAATTACTGAACAAAAGATAAACCATAGGAAACCAAATTTCATTAGTTTCACTGCTAGAGAAACAATTAATTTTTCATTGTTTTCTACCATTCTTTCTTACTGTAGTGTTCTGTATTTTTAGAAACTATTTTAAAAGAGCAATCAAAGGTAGTTGATTGCTTTGGGTGATGTGTGAAGGATAGATCATTCTATAGACTCACTTGTAATGGATGTGCATCTACATTTTCAGCTGGTTTCTTTTAGCCTGTTTCCATGTTTACTTCACAGTTCTAACAGTGCATGTTCAAACCTTAATTTTCATATGAATTGATCTATCCAGCTGCAGAAACACTTTGTGCCCTAATATGAATCTGTATTCACTTGCCAGGAGAGATATGAGGAATAACACAAAACCTGCTAAAACCACTGAGAAGGAATAATATCTTTACTTTAGTTGCAGCTCAGTGCCCAATTTTCAATTTTTATTCATTATTTCCAAATTTAGGTACTACATTAGTAGCTTTGTGATTTCTTTCATTTCGATAACCACATTTGGGCTGTCCCAAGTAAAATAAAATGCATTTTAACTTTGTAAATTTTTAAAATTTAATGTTCTTGAATTTTTTTTTCTGTTGGTCTCTCTTCAGTATAAATTTACAATTTTCATTTTTCTAACAAGCTGTTTCTTTATTCATATATATTGAAATCAGGTGATATATAGGACAAATATAAGGTTGAAGCAGTTTCAAAGATAGTTTTATAGATATTACTTGAATTGCTTTTTGAATTTAGCTCCCAGTTCAAATAGATAACCAATGAAACTTTCCTCCTAGTTTTATACTTGCTTCATCTTCAGATACGCAAATCAATTTAAATTTTTTTTTTAGATTTGTTTTTAGTTTTGTAGGGCATGACATTACATACTTTATTTTCCCTTTTGCTGACTCGAATTTTTGTAATCCTACTTTAAGAATGTATAGATCCATTTGAAAATGTTTTCTGTCTTTTCTCATACTGACTTCTCATGCTGACTTCTGATAGTTCTTTGAAACCTTCTTTTTTGTTTTTTTTTTTTAGTAGTATCTTAATGTTGATTGAAATTGTACTTATGAAAGTAAAAAAATTATTGTCCTGTTATTTTTGTGTTTCACAAAGATAGTTTATGATTAGTAATGTCATTATGTCATTATGTTTTAATAATCTAATTGACCATCAAGTTTAGAGGGATTGCATTATAAGTGGCCAAAACATTAAAAATATTTTAGTCTTTGCAGTTTAGCTATGGTATGTGTATATTTTTTCAGATAATTCATCTTGCTTAGTTAGCTAAAGATGTTCTCTTTTTGCTTTCATAAAACTAAGTTGACTTCATTGAGTGACTTCTTAATCATCTGTCTTTTAAATTTATTAATAAACTTTTAATTCATGTTCTAATGCATTTATTCAAAATTCTTGGATATATTTTCCTTCCTTTTTTGTAGTTTCCTGATTAACATTGAAAAACTGTGATGGTGTGTCTCTGTTCCCACCATACTTGTAAGATGGAATTAGCTCTTTGTGAAGTTGTGGCAGGCTTTTGTTCTCTAACCCATTGTGACTCCACAACACAAACACTGGAGATTGTGGTACAATAAAATGATGGACTTATTTCCCTTAATGTAGGGACTGGGGTATAAGAGATGTTCCCTCTTACAGAATACATTGTGAAAATCATGGAAAGTGCCCTGTAGCAGAACATGGGCTCATAGGTCTCCTATTAGGAAAAACATAGTACTGGAGTTATCTTTCAAGTGTACAGAAATAACTAGAAATGAGACAATTTTGATGGACACAACAGAAATAAAATGATTACTGTTTTCCTTGTTTACTTTCTAATGCTTCTGGAAAGAGATAGCAAGATGGTTTTATGAACCTATCAGAAAACTTAATCCTGTAATAAAAGGACTTTTCCTAATTTTCACAGATGCAGCGAAGCTTTACTTAAATCTTCGTAGCCTTCATCTGAGAAGTCTGAGTTTTTTCCAAGGGTTCCTTCCCAGGATGCATTATGGTTTTTGCACTTGCAGCCTCATCTAGTGCATTGATGGCTTCATTGATGCCAGTAGGAAGAAGCACTTTCCTGTGTCCGCCTTTGTGTTCCAAAGGGGAAGGTTTTAAAATCAAAAGCATTGAATGCTTTGTTCTCAAGAAGTTGTGTCCAAAATAGATGTACAGCTTGTGAGGAGCAGATTTTTTTTTTTTTAAGGCTTCCAGTGGTATATCCTTATAGCATTCCTGATGTTCCTCCTAAGTTGGGTGTTCTTGGTTTTTTTTCCAGCAAAAAGATTTATACTGACAACAAGGTGGTGAATATTAACAATGTATTCAGAAATACATGTTGTTGTCAGATTTGCAGGGAGATGAGAGCAGTATGTAATTGTGTCCAAGAACACACTGTCCTGTAGGGGCTGACAGGTGTCCTGTCAGAATGCATTTGGCATAAGGTTAGTACATGACTAGACATTCTTGCAAAAAAACTCTCAAAACCAGCAGAATGCAGTAATTTCTAATTGTTTTCCATGCATTGGGCATTATGGAAACTAATAGCAGCTGCACCAAATGAGCTACCCTATTTCTGATGTTGTAAGGTTGTGAGAACTTCAGTTTTACAATAGTTTGGGCATGACTCATGGAAATTAACTTTGAAAGTGGTTTTTTATGTTGATTTTGTTTAATACATACAGTTTTTTAACAAGCAAAATACTTCTAGTTGGTATTTTCATGGAGATTTTTGCACTTCTCAAAACTTTGATTCAGTATTAAGGGAAAAATAAATACAAAAACACAGTAATCTGAAATACTCACTGGCATTTTCTATGCCTTAAAAGTTATTGTAGTTGGAAAGAATGACAAATATTTAGCTTTTTCTACTTGCGTGTATATTTAGATGCATGTCTAAAAATATGGAGTATTTTTGTATCTCAGGCTTTAATTGAGGGGAGATTGAAATATGTGATTTGGGATATGCTTCCTGACTACCTAAGATTACATTGTTCATCCAGGTGTGGAAGAACATCTGTGTTATCCTAAAGCCTTTAATTATGTGATCACTTAATTTTTGTTTTTCCCCCTGCCTGGAATCCTTGCTTTACCTGTTACGTAGAGCATAGTGTTTGCCCTTCATGAGCAGTTGTTTAGTGTTCTTCTTTTCTCCTTATTAGATTCGTGTCCTCATGCTTACTGTTAAGCTTTGCTTTGAAGTCAGAAATCTAAATTTCTGAGGTTTTGCTTCTGTATAATAGGAGAGTGTGTGAAATTTTGTTCTCGTTTTTTTTTACCTCACTTCTATGAGAAGAAAGATATTATATACACTTTATGGAGGGAGAAACACAAATCCATCAGGGTTCTATACTGTGGCTCTTTAGGTAACATAGGATACTTCATCCCATTATTTGAAGTTTAAGGTGCAGCTCCCATAGTTTCCTTCTGCATCTGTGAACACAGAAGACTTTTGCAAGACCTGTATAAAGTGGGCATCCAGAAAAATCCAGTTGATTTTCTGACATCTCACAAAATTTTTGTGGCAGAGACAGAAATAAAAATGCTGTTCTGCATAGCAGGTTTGTATTTTTGTTATGATAATTATAAGACTAATTTCTGTCTTCAGTTCTTCTTGCTTCAATTTTGTTTTTTACCTCTCTTCTGTCGTGTAACAAATGATACAATGCTTCAGGTCTTTCTTGTGCATTAAATGAGTCATGGCCTGTTGGGGGTGATGGGAATAGCAACATGTAGTCATGTTGTAACGCATTTGCAATGTGAACTGAGCTGTTGGAACAGACCACACAGCTGTGCCCAAACTTTACAGCATTTGATGTAGGAACTGTAATGTTCTCTTTATGGTGTGTTTCTTTACTCTTAATTGAAATATGAAATGGTATTAACTGGAAGGCTCATAAGAGGAAAATGATCTTCCTGCTCTGCTATGTCTGCCTTTTTGTTTAATATGTGGTAGTTTTCTGGATAGACTTGCTGAAAAGGGGAGAATGCGATACTTGGCCAATAGGTTTCATGTCCTTGTTGCTGGCAAGAGTGTTGGGTTGAATTTTAGGCTCTGGAACAAGCTGTAATGGTTTTGGAATATATGGGGAAGAGGAAGGCAATAAAATAAAAATGTTCGCTTGAAGTGAGAAGGAAAAAGACATTAATTTTTTGTAGCTAGAACATTTAAGCTGTTCTCTGTGGCTTGGTCGCAATCCTCACTGATGTGAGGATAAAAATTATGTTTAAATCTTGCAGGCATTTTTTCCCTTTCACTTCTAAGCAAAACTATAATTCCCATTTGATTTCTTACATTTAAAGCAGCACTGTCTGCATTATAAAAACTAATTTTCCACTAGGAAGGACAAGTAAGTAGAGCGTGCCAATCTGCTGCTGTGAACATGTCTATGCAGTATATTGCAGAATGGGATGCAATATCACTCTGGCCAGTGCCAACTATGCTGATATGGGCAGGCAGAGCTTACTAGCTTAGGTTCAAGACAGAGGTTGAGAACCTTGTTATAAGCCTGTGTGTGCACCATCTGTAGAAGTAAAGGATGGAATGTAGGGCTGTGCTAGAGAATTATGACTTACTAGCAAAACATGGATGGTTTCTTTTATAGTTGTATTTCAGTTGGTTGTCATGGCAATAGTATGTCATTGTATTTGACATTTTCTACTGTTTCCTTTTATCCAAATGTGTTCTCTGTCAGGGTACTTGTTTTTCTTTTAGAATAACAGTGACCTTTTTATTGAAAATTGTATAACTAGGTATAATTAGAGGCATTTGTTGGTGAGGTTTGACTTTTTAAATTATCAGAAACAACGTAAAAACATAATACTAGCCTGTGTTGAAGTGCATTTTGGTGTTAACTTTGTGTTAAGAAGATGTAGTTGCCTTGGAACATGTGCGCATTGTCCCAGAATTCAGCATAATTAATGTATATTGTGTCCATTGCACACTGCGTTATTTTCTTGTGTAAAGTCTTCCTGTTCTTTGAAAAATGGCTTCTTGTTCTTAAAGGCCTTCATTTACGAGTGCTACTGGCTGACATTGCTTATGAGTTTGATCTTTTCTCTGTAACCTGCATTGCTTCGTTTCTCTTGCAGCCTTTGGATATCCCTGATGGTCGAAGGGCCCCATTACCTGCTCACTATCGTAGTAGTAGTACACGAAGCATTGACACTCAGACTCCGTCTGTCCAGGAGCGCAGCAGCAGCTGCAGCAGTCACTCACCATGTGTCTCTCCCTTTTGCCCTCCTGAATCTCAGGATGGGAGTCCTTGTTCAACGGAAGATTTACTCTATGACCGTGATAAAGGTGAGAGTAGAATGGCCTGCCTTTATCTGTGGGAGGCATGTGATGTCCTGCTTTTACAACTACCTTCATTTTACTCATTACATCAGTTTTTGTTTTTGTTTGATGGCTGTGGAGGGATTGAGGATTTACCTTAAAATTGGTTTTGTTTGTTTACATATCTTTTTCCCTCTTGTTTGTGGAACTTCACAAACATCTTCCATAAATACGTCAGAGGAGCACAGCAAACAGTTAACTATTTATGAAGATTCTAATGTGAAGAATTCAGACTGTAACATGTTTATGTTTAAAAAAGGTTTCAAGAAGATTTGTGGTAGACTGAATAGTCATCGTGGGTGAGTTACTTGCTGTTCAAAATGGTGATGAAGTTTTGGACTGCTTTTGAAAATACTCTGCTTCTGAACTCTTACATTCCACTTGAAGCTATTTGGTGAGAAGCTCAGATATGAGTTTGAACAACCTGATGGAGAGTAATTACTTCTCTATGTATGTTGCATAACACCTCAGAAACTCTGAATAATTTATGTGTTTATATGTCAATATGCTGTGCTGTTTTTTGAAGTCTGTAAAATGTTCTTTGGTTTTATAGAGGGAGTACAACTGGTGTTCCAGTAATTAAGAGTTACTGACAGAACATGTAGTGTGAAAATAGAGGCACCGGTGTAAAAAGACTGGGTTTGTTTGACAACTGTTTACTAATGAAATTACCCTTGTGCTTCTGGTCAGCTAGCTGAAACATGGACTTTAGTTTGGAGGATGCAGAATTTGGGTAAAACATGCAAGCTAAGAGTAGTAAGTTTCACAGAGGAAATGAAAAATTTTAAGATTTAGCATAGATTTACAAATGAATTAAAGACAACAGTATTTTGAGGCTGTAAATGAGGGTAAACTTTTTTGTAAATACTATCTGTTGAATAATTCTTAAAGGAATTTGTCAATAAGTTTGGGGAAGTCAGGAGAAATACTAGGTTTTCTTGGTTTATGAAAAGTAGTATTTTCCTGTCTTGGATTTAAAAAGACAAAATGAAAACAAATCCATCTGCCCAAATCTTGAATTGAGGGTGGGTGTGTACCAATGTGTAAGTTAACCACATTAAAGTCTTAGATCAACATTATAGTTGGCCGTGCTCCAAAAATAACAGTGATATTAGCTCCCCCCCCCCACTTCTTTCTTATACTACACATGTGAATTTTAATGTGTTGTCAAGACCAAATCACTATAGAGACATCCACTAAAGTATTAGCACACAAAAAATCTATCTTGATAGGTAAATTGGTTCCTGTATGTCCTGATAACAAATAAAAGTTAAAAAGTGAGGAAATGAAAAATTTCTTTTGCGGTTAGTACTCCGTTATCACAATAATAGAAATTTTCAGTGGTACACTATCAGCTGTAGCAAGTGAAGACAGTTTGAAATAGTGCATCTAACCTTCTTAATGCTTTTCAAGGGTTTTTATCTCCTGTCTTGGATTTTTTGAACAGCTAACTGGAGTAAAATTTATGAGTAGTTACTTCTTTGTGGATTTCAGTTTTAAGGGCGGCTTTAATGCTGGGCCTGTATCAAAAGTCTGCTCTAGTAGTAGTGTGTAGGTGACAGTGATAAACAGCCAGCTTTGTAAAGTCATGATAATGGCGTTTTTAAATTAGTTTAAATAAGGTACTTACTATTGTGTGCATGAAAGATAAAAGCTTGAACTGCTCATCACAACTTAGGTCTTTAAAGGCAAGGTAAAAATTAGGAAAACATGGTGCGGTTTTCTGAGAGAAAGTAATTTGTTCAGAGCTTATAAAAGTATAGTCAGAAAGATGCCTTTCTCAAGTCATCAAGATCCTGAAGGCCAGTTGTTCTGAATAAGAATGTTATCTTCAAAATAGTTAAATTACAGATAAATGAGGCATATAGGTAGAAATTATATGGGAACAGCAAATTTCGAGAGACATTTTATTACATTTGTTGTGAATATTAACTGCTTTATAAGACCAAAACTCGTGAAGGTTTTCAGACCTTCGTTTTAAAGGGTTTTGTGATGCTGGGATAAAACTGTAGTGAGTTTGCTGTTGTGTAACCAAATGTAGATGTTTCGACCCCAAGATTTTTTTTTCTTCCTTTCTATGAGAATAACTTGACATTACCATTAAAAAATACAATTATCAGTGCTAATAATGCTTCTGGGTGTTTTGCTGAATGGGAGAGGAAGGTTAGTAGTTTAACTGAAAGACATGAGCACTGAGAGGAGCCAGTGCTCTGTGCAGACACAGCACTGCTTTACATTCCTAAAGCATCTTTTATTTCTTGTGCAAAGTGGTGTTTTGGCCTGAGGCCCTCACAGCTGCCCTTCGGACTGTATCAGCTGTTGGGTTTACCTTTTGTGCAAGAAGCTGCAAAATTACTGAGTTTTTCAAAAGAAAGTGAAAGCTAATTTTCAGACAATATTGTTCTGAATGGAGCAGTGATACTGAACAGTATTGATTAGAGGGGAGAAGGTATTTTAATGGCACCTGGCTGTATGATTTTGTATTAAAGCTACTGGTTTCACTAGATCTGTTTTATGATGTTCTGCTCCATGAGATTATAATTCAGAGTGTGCATAGCATGCTCAACAGCTGTGGCAGAGGTAAAGTTCAAAGCATCCCAAGTTATAAGAGAATGAAATTTGGAGGAGTTTTTTTGTACAAAAATATATAGTATGACCTGTTTTTTAGGGCTTTCGGTTTAGGTGCTTTTGTGTGCATTTTAGGTGCATTGTGTATTCTCACTGTTGCTAGTAGACTCTTACAAGCAACACATTCATGAAGATGACCTGAAGATACTTGTTAAATTCTGGGCATCTGATTCATAGTTTTTTAAATTAAGATTGTTAGTTAAGTCTTAGAATAGTCTTAAAAAGCAAAGCTATTTTGGAACCTATAAAAACAAATCCCAGTGTGCTCACTGGCAAAGTTTCTTGTTTCCTTAAAGTTTTGTCATTTAAAAAAATGTTTTTCAGATTCTTTTTTAGTTAGCCTCCTTTGTTGTTCTAAAATATGCAGGCTATAATTATGGGTATTAAGTGTTCTGGTTAACACAGTATTTTTAGTGTTTTAATGACAATCTTAAAACCTTTTCTAGATAACAGAGTATATCCATTTAAAATATTTATGTTTAGAAATTCCACGTGATAGGGCTCCATATTGTCTGCTGTGTGTTTGTGGTAACAAAACTCCCGTTAAAGGTTCCATCTGTTAATGTTCAATCATTGTCAGCGGGATGGGGTGGGATGGGGGCCATGGAACACGCCCGCAGGGCACCCCCTGCTGACGGGAGCCACGAGGCGCAGACACAGCCCAGGCCTGAGGGCTCGGCCATGGGGCCACAGAGAGTAACAAACCTGCACGTAAAACACTTTGACAACATGCATTTATTTGCAGTGTCATTAAGGATTAATAACGTGACAGTTTAGCACTTAAGAGCTTACGGCATACACAAGTGGAGGCTGGGTTAAGCTGTGAATTCCACCTCTTGCCACTTCAACTCGAGGCCTGTGTCCCCAGTGCCCTTCTGCTCTTGCACTGCTGCTGTACGTGCTGGACCAGCAGCCAGTGTGTACGTGTGAGCCTCCGGACAACCACACGTGTGTTTCGAATAGTGGCATGCAACGCGTTGGGTCAAAATGAAAGTCTAACAGCTTAGCAAACTTGAAAAGCAGAGAGGGTAAAGAGAGAGAGTTGTTTAGCAGCTGTCTTGTATAGAAAGTTTCAGCCAGACAGGGCTAACTAAACGAAAACCTTGATTGAAAACTGAACTGGCTAGTAGACAAGACTGAATCTTCCAAGAACTGACTTAACTTTGAATTCTGTTTGATTCTTCCCTTGGATGTGCTGCCACGGTTTTCCACTATTTGGTGGAATGAACAGTAGTGCATTTTATGTCTCAGATTTTTTAAATAGAAACTTGGATCTTCAATTTTAAATATTAGAAGGAGGAAACAAACTGTCTGGGTTCTGTTAATGATTTCTGTGTTTGGAATGAGCTGTGTGGGCCAACAGTGAAAAGATGCCAACAGGACGATCATGCTCCCAACTTGGCATATATCTGTATCATCTCTTAAGTGTTTTCTGCCTTCATAGTTAACACTGAAAATTCTGTAAATAGAAGTTCTGTATTCACTCTATGGCAGGAAAGAGCTGAATAATCAATATACTGCTGAGGTTCACTTCAGTTTGGTTGTTTTGATTTTTTTTCCTTCTCATATCTTTCATAGTAAATCTTCAAAGGGGAGTGTGGTGTTTGAGTTGATTTGTTTCTTGTAAGAGGAAGCAGAAATGTTTTAACATGTCTAAAGATTAGTCTTTGTATTTAAGTCATGGTAATACGAAAGTTTATGGAGCTACTTTTTGCAAGCTGTTAAAGACAACTTTGTACACTTCGGTGAAGCTAGATCATAGTCCTTGAAGCTTGGGTTGATTTTCCATTGTTGCTGAAAAGGCACAATACAACAGCACATGCACAACAGCAAAGTAAACATAAACCGAGTTAAAAATGGTAAGGTACCCCAGATTGGTGGAAAGACTCAAGAGGACCTAAAGCAAGAGCAGCTATTTCTCTCCAGTTAAAGTGTGTTAGTAAGTTGGGAGATCCACTTTAATTTTGCTATTTCATTTTTTTCATTGTAATCCCAAGCAGGGAATAGGGAACCACTAGTACTAGCCTGAGATAGATGTTGCTCTTTGAAAAGGTAGAAGCTACTGCAGAAAGCTATTTTTCTATGAATATTTTTGTACCTAATTTGTTTCCTTAATGCATTGACTATCGTGTTGTCAACATGACTGTTTAAAGTGAGCCCTTTCATAGTCTTAATATTTCAAACTTTTGTGCTTCATCAGACTTGAGCTTTCTCTCTTACGTTTTCTGAGTACAAATATATCTGCCCCTTACCTTTTGTCCTAAGTTATCTAAGTTTGTCTTAAAATATACACAGATGGCTAGATATTTGAAGTGTACCTGTATCATATAGCTAGTAGTGATGAGAGAATTAAACTGTAGAAGTTTTATTTTGGATATTAAAACAACTTCACAGTATGAAGCAAGTAAGGTAGGGCATTGTAGTGATGAGGTATCAGTACCTGTGTTATGAACATACTTTATTTCTTTGCAACTTCTGAACTATTCATGAGACTAATGAGGTCAATATTCCAGTAAAGTATTATTTTAAAATAAGATACATGTTGTATGCACACATTTTCAGTAACACTGTTTGTACAGTGAGAAGTTATGTTATCATTACCTCTCATAATTCTTCTGCATGTATTATGCATATTACCCTGTTCATTTATGGGTTTTGAGCTACGTAATAAAGAATGTATTTGTTTCCAGGATCACAGCTCTGCTTTGTTCTGATTGCAGTGTTCTGGATAAAAATATCCTCCTGTTACGTGTTGTTATATGATAGATTACTCCTGCACTGAAGCTGTTATTCAGAAGAAATGTACTATACAAGGGTGTTAGAAATAGCCTGCAATAAAGGAAGCGTTGTGGTAGAAGCAAGCCGGCGTAGTGGCTAAATTGTGAAAAAAGGCATCTTGTTTGGAAATCGAATTTAATTAAAAAGCACTCTCAATCTCTAGTAATATAACTGCTTTAAATTTTCAGACAGTGGGAGTAGCTCACCGTTGCCCAAGTATGCCTCATCTCCCAAACCAAACAACAGCTACATGTTCAAACGAGAGCCCCCAGAGGGATGTGAGCGAGTGAAGGTCTTTGAGGAAATGTCGTAAGTAATGCCTTTTATATCAGCTGGTATCTGCAAAGCAGTAAACCTGTTTACTGAGCCTATTCAACTGCAGATGAATAAACTATTCCAGCTGATGGGTTTTTCAGGAGCAAACTATTCTTACAGTTTGTACAGAAGAGAAGTTGAAGTGTTTAAATTGGTTTGAAGAGGAAATGGAGTCTTTTAACTCTTTTTGTGCATTTATAAAAGGCAGCTAAACTCCAAGCAGAAAAAATAAGGTACATTAATTTCCTAAACATTTATAAACCTCTTTCCGTATATTTCTTATAAGATTTTAAATTTTCATGGCTTAAACAGAAACTCTCCTTGTCATAATTATCGGTTTCATGAATAGGCTGCATTTTAATGCGTATAAAACATATACAATGAAGTGAAACATATGTAAAGGGTTTGTAGATGGTAGTATGCTTATGACACAGACTTTGCTCAATATTTTTGCTGAGCAAGAAATTGGAAATTACACCCTTGGACATCATGTCTTTTTCCCTTAGACCCAGCAGTATTTGAGCACAGCACATGCTGTCGAGGTTGCATGCTTAGCTCCTGTGGATGAAAGAAGTAAATAGGGGATCTTTCTTGCTCTGACAGTATTCATTGCCTGCTGGATGGTGAAGGAGCAGTGTTGGGTTGTGGAGAAAGCCTCCAAATAAATTATGGAGTATGAGAAAGGAGAGGTCTATTTTATGGAGGTTTTTAAAGGGATTTAAAATGACTAAATGTGTTATTGCTGCATTGCTTTTATCAAAGAAGAATTTGTTCCATTCCAAATTACTGCAGTTTTTCATGTGCGTATGTACTGCAGATTTTTCTTGCTGGAGGTTGCATGTTTGTCCAGTAATTATCAAGTCATTTTTGTGACTGTACTATTTTTAATGCTGTGGATCAGTTAGCTGACTACCAATATGGAAGATGTTTGCCCCTCTGTCCAATTAATCCCATTCCTTGTCATTCACATTTTAGCAACATGTAGAACCACAAAGTTCGTGACGTAAAAAACATCTCGTTCGGCCAGATATATAATGTTTTTTCTCGTTGTAGGTCTCGTCAGCCTGTCTCAGCCCCTCTCTTTTCATGTCCTGACAAAAACAAGGTTAATTTCATCCCAACCGGATCAGCTTTCTGTCCTGTAAAACTTCTGGGCCCCCTCCTTCCTGCTTCAGACCTGACACTGAAGAGCTCTCCAAACTCTGGACAAAGCACAGCTTTGAGCACCCTGACTGTTGAGCAGCTTTCGTCTCGGGTCTCTTTCTCATCTCTGTCAGATGACACCAGCACAATGGACTCCACAGAGGTCCCGGTACAGCAGCCGTCCCAGCAGCAGCAGCCGCTTTTGCAAGAAATTCAGACTGAAGACCATTCCTCTGCTCAGAGCTACGTGTTAATCTAGACAAGGCGGAGCAGGCCTCTGCCCCGAGACAAGGACTGAGGAGATCGTAGCTCAGATACATCTGCATGAGGTGGCAACCTTTCAGAACAACACGGAATACTTAGCAGCACTCGAAAAAATATCTCAACACTGTTCTTGGCAGGGACAGAATCCGTATTCAGCATTTTTTGTGAGAAAGCAGTAATGCCTGCAGAATCCATATATCATTAAGCGTTTTAAGTGGAGACTATGCATTTCATAGTACGTTTGACCAGATTAGTACTGTGTCCTGTGCTCTGTTTCAAATTCTACAGTATAAATAAGCTCCTTCTCTCTCTATATATATAAAAAAAATGTTGCCTGTCTGAATAGAAAATGTCTTGCTGTGTTGTGTCCTATGGAAAATACTGTACTTCAGGATTATGTTTACAATTGATCCAGGTGTTTGTTTCTAACTTCTGTAATACACACAATGCAAAAAAAAAAAAAAAAATGGCCACAACAGTTGCACAGTGCCCACCCTATGGCCTAGCTTCAGGTACTTCTCTTGAAGTCTAAACTCAGGTAACTTGGAATGTATATCATATTGGAATATAGAATATTTTACAGCTACAAAGCTAAAGAGGGAACATCACTCTTTTGCCTTTCCTTGTTTTATGCATTAATATTTCCTCATTACATTCCACTTTCTTGGAATAAGTGCATTCAGATCCAGGTGAACAGTGACCCTGGACATGGGTGAACATGAGGAGAACCAGCAAATCTGTGGTGTATATCACGTTGTCATGTGCTTACAAGTAAAACAACTGTTGCATTTACTTTCATTTCAATAGATGTAAAAATGTGGCATTTAAAGGTTTCAGGTGTTGCTCAGTTAATGACTGTTAAACTGTTGCAAATAAAGTGTTCAGTACTAGGCTGTACATGAGAAACATTCCACATTGTGCGTGAGAGGATTTTGAAAGACAAGAATGTTTTTGTTCAAGGACAGAAATGCTTTCAGGTTTCACAGGGGTTGATGGGGATTTCCTCTCATGGTTTTTGTTGGCAGTTAAGGATGTGAAATGCTACTGTTACTGTCTAAAAGTCAAATTAATGTTTAGTTTCTCTTTTGGAAATGTTCATTCATTTGCTGGTTGGAAATAGGTTTTCAGATTTGTCAAGCAGTGTTAGATGAGCAGCGTTTTATTTATGTAGTGAGTAATTGTGTTTGGATTAAAGTCCGAAAGTAGCAAGTGGGTGTTCTAAGAGGGGTGGGGAAAAGAATAGTTTTAAGTTCATGTTACTTAAAGCTTCTCCCATAACTTTCAGTTACTTAAGTTGTGTGTGTAAAAGTGTGCTTTCCCTTCTCCTTAAGTGTGAATAAAAGAAAAATCCATGTAAAATAATCCTGGTTTTGCAGGCTGGACACTTTCTCAAAATAGTACATGGCAAGATCAGGTTCGTGGTGCTCTTCTATTGTTCTGGAAAAAGGAGCATTGCTGTCAGAGATAATTTCCTGTGATACAAAGAGAACCCCAAAGGCAAAATAACTCGATGTTCTTGCTCTGTTGCTTTCAGCTCAGTGGAACTACATTTATGCTGTCTGCTCTTAAGAGAATAAAGTTCACCTTTTCCAGGAATTGAAGAGATTAGTAGCCTGCAGCTCCTGAGCATTTAAACTTGCTCCTTTATGTTCTTTTCCTTTTCTGAAGATGAGGTTGGAGGGGGAGTGAGAGCCACCAGTTACTACTCACTAAATATGTGCTTTCTTTGGAGATAAAGCATCGCTTTCTTTTTATTACTGAGTTTTTGTTTGTGCTATCTTACAAGGTGGAATTTGCAGCCTACAAAACAGTTACTGTTTTTTGACTCCCCTTTCACAAAATATAGTAGGAGAAAGAGGTCTCTAACCATTTTCATGTGAAAATCCTTTAAACACAACAGCCATCTTTAACCCTACTAATCTCAGGCCTAGGTGAAAACACTATATATTTTATAGACTGAAGATAAAGGGGAGGAAATACTCTTAAGTATCGATTCCTTTTAATATTTTTCTTTCTAGATTAACATTGCAGTATGATGAACTTTTTATGGTCTGGTTGTGTCCAGATAAGAAATTGTAGTCTCAGTTATTGGTGTTAGGTTACCAGGGGATATGATGAGTGGTTTTTAGATCAGTGCTGAACTCTGTACAATATTTGCAATGCCATAACATGTTCTTTATATTTTTTCCACGAGAAACTAAATATTAATTAAATTGCACATTTGTTCTTAGCAGATTTGGAGGTTTTGAACCAAATGTGTTAAAGCTAATGCTTTGTCATGTAAATTTCCCAGCAGTTGTTTATCTCAATTGTATTCTACATGCAGCTGTAGAAATTTGTCAAATATTGTTTAAAGTTTTGTACATAGTTGTACTGTTATTTCTAGCCACTGTGCTGAACAGTATTCAAGTTATCACACAATATTGCTTTACACAAGGAAATGTGTGGCTTTTGTTTTGTATTTTTTTCGGTATAGAAGTTCCTGTGTCTTATTTAAATAAAAATTATAGTTAAAAAAAAATGGTGGGGACAACACACAAAAGCAGTGCCTCATTTATTTGTTTTGGAAACTGTGCATGAAATACTATAGGATGAGATTGGAGTTAAATATTGTTCCAAATTTACACCTAGAATAATGTCAACCATGCTGTCTTTAGAACAAGGTAATAGTTATTGATTTTTGCATAATGCTCTGCTGGGGGGGGAGAATCCTAAAAATAGTCGAATGCTTAAATATGCTTTAAATAGCATATTTTATTTCTACATATGATGAGGTTTTCTTCACAGCACAGAAAAAGATCAGTTAAGAGTTATTTGAAACTGTATCTACTGCTATGTTTGTGGTATGGCTAATTTCAAGTTATCTGTTGAAAATTATGAAAGCCATTAGATGTTTCACTATGTGAAACTAAACTAAACACCTAAAGGATGTGGTGTAAATCTACTGACAGTCTTGGTTTCATGTTGTTTAGTATGAGTCAAATGATTGTCATTTGACTTGCAGAATAATTCTTTCTAGATGGGGGGTGAGGGAAGGAAGAAGGATAATATTTAAAAATATGTAAATCTTCCAGAGTGGGTGTTTACTGAAGAGCACTATGGCAATAACCATCAAGAATGGTTTAGTGCTTGCTGTTGTCAGTCAGCGGAAATTTAGGTTTTCAATATCCCAAAGATTACAGGGTTTCTATGTGACTATGTTAAAAACATTAACTGAAACTGAAGTAAAAGCCCTGTGCAGGGCTGGGAGTTGGACTTTGATGATCCTTGTGGGTCCTTTCCAACTAAGGATATGCTGTAGGATATTCTGTGATCCCACCCTGCTACAAAAATACTTGGTGTCCTTCAGTCAGAAGCAGCATTTCAGCCATTTCATCATCAGCTTGAAGGGGCTACTGGGAAGAGCTTTGTGACTGCCTTGTCCCCTAAATGGATTTGGCTGCAGCAGTTTTGGGCTGTCCTTCAGTGGGAGGGCATTTTCTCAAGAAGTACTTTGACAAAAGGGTTTAGCTTCCTCTGAAAAGATGTGATGCAGCTTGTATCACGGGCAACTTTTACCCATCCCTGGGAACCTAGGCCTCAGCTGGTTAGTCACATTTTGGGTTTTTTCCCACATAAGCCATGCTTTTAATCTGTTTGCTGTGTGTAACTTACTGCCTATGTCTTCCTCAAAGCCCAAATAACCAGTCTGAAAAGTACTGAGAGACCTAATGAAATAATTTTGCCTTGAATTCCTGCTTTGTGACTGAAAGATCTTCATTGACTTGAATGTCACGTTTTCTAGTAATTCATGGCTCTGGAACTGAACTCTCTTCAGAGACTGGGGGACTGTGTAAGGGGAGCCCTTGGCTATGTATGCTGGGGGTAGGGTGTAATGGATAGTGACCTTGTTTTAGGAAGCAGGGTGTTGTCAGGGAAGTGATTTATGGCTTCCTGACAAATCAGATCTTGGGAAGGGCCAGATAGTGGCGCAAGGGTAGAGTCTTAATATCTTTACAGTATTAAAGCATAAGGAGTAATAAAAAATAAACACAAATTGCCATCCCACATCTCTAATCCATTCAGTTGCAAGTAAGGGCCATTGAGTCTTAGCAAACTCGCTTCTGGCTTTATTCCATGGTAGTGGATTGGTACATTCCTATGTTGAGGTAAAGCCCAAGCAGCCTGAAGATGACAGATAACTTGTAAAAGTATATATCAGATACTGTTGTAAAACAGCCTGGCTTGCTTTGCAAAATACAGCCATGCAAGCAGAGATTTGAAGCTACTCACGTGGGAGAAAATAACCAGAGTTCCTGCCGTGTCTTTCCAGAACCTAAATGTAAGGAAAAAGTGAGTTAAAGCTGGGAAATTACACGCATTACACATACAGCCATCCATACTTGGTGCCTGGCTGAAGGAAGTTGTTTGTGATCAGAGACTGTCATGCAGTTAAAATATATGTGTATCTTGTTTCTGTTTGCATTAGTGTAACCAGTCCTGGAAAACTCTAGTTTGGGAGAGACTGGAGAAGGCCCAGGGAAGAGCTATAGGAATAAAGTACTGGAAAAAACAGGAAAGCTGTGTAGGAGTTCAGCATGATTAACTTGACGGTTAAAGAGTAATTTAGTTTTGGTTAGTAAATGCATATATATGAAATACGAACTTTATATTTAACAGACATAGAATCTTAAAGCAGTAAGAATATGAAAATAGATGAATTCACACTAAAAATATGGATTTGTTTTAGCACTAAGCATAATTAAGTACTGGGCCAATTTGCAAAGTTGGATTTTTTCAGTACTGTTATGTTTAAAATTAGATGATTTTGCAAAGGATGTGCTCAAATAAGATGCTTTTATAAGCCTTACTAGCTCATGATTATTTGAGGCATTTTACATTTCAGTTGACTTTAAAGAGGTGGAGGTTTTTAACTATCATCAGTATTCTTGCCTTACTAAAGAAGCAGATGCTGCAGTAATTTTAACTAGGGTGTTCACACATCTTTTAAACTGTCTGGAATAGATCTTTGAGGATAACTTCTGGCTTCTGAAAATTTTTGGTTTGTCAAATGTCAGTGAGTCTTGAGTAAGGCAAGGGTAGTTGAGTGGCTTTATTAGTTGTTTTGGTTTTTTTCACCTCCTCAATAACACTGTAGTTATGAAGAGATAGCAAGAAATTGGAGAATAGGCAGTGTCTTTTTGGAGTGCAACCAGTCACAGAACCAATGTGTCGTTCAAGTGGGGCTGAGAGGAAAACGCTGATTGAGGAGGTGGAGTGTTTCCTTAGTAAAGGCCACACTTTACTAAGTGTGGAAGTGAGTGAACATGCAAATTAAACTGCAAATTCAATTGTCAACAAGAAAGAACAGCAATCAGATGAAGCTGGGTAGACAGGTGATCCCCTTTTTAAGAACAAGTTGAAATTTTACCTTGGATTGTAACAAGTTCCGCTGATAAATGGTATGCCTTGAACTGCAACTTGGAAGCTCAGATGCAGAGGAGCTGGAAGCTTGGGAGAAGAGGGAGTTGGGTAATCTTGGTTTTTTTCCCCTTGAATTAGAGACTGAGCTTGTTAATGATGCACAATTAGGCTAATAACTGCTGCTGTAGAAAACTAAGTTCTGAGGGGGTTTAATTGGTTTTATTTTTGTGTATGTGCATAGTGAAGTGTGTGGTTAAACTTTGCAGTGGTTTGTGCAGCTGTTGGTTGAGAAACAGGGTTTGCTCAGGGCAATATAGGTTTACTAATACCCATAGTAATCTATTTCTTGTACCTTTGTTTATAACTTTGTAGTGGGTTGAGCCTGGCTGGACACCAGATACTCTCTACAGCTGCTCTCTCACTCCCCTCTGCAACTGGACAGAGGAGAGAAAAAAAAAAAGGCAGTGAAGGATTCATGAGTTAAGAGCTGGAAGAGGTCACTGATCACCATCACAGGCAAAACAGACTCAGAGTGGGGATATTACTTATATTTATTACTAACAGGATCAGAGCAAAAGAGTGAGAACTAAAATAATCTTAAAAACACCTTCCCTCCATCCCTCCTTCCTTCCATGTTGTCCCTCCTCCCCCCCCTCCCCCCCCTCCCTGGTGCAGGGGGATGGGGAATGGGGCTTATGGTCAGTTGTTGTTTCTGCCACTGTTCAAGGAGAGGAGTCCTTCCCCTGCTCCTATGGGGTCCCTCCCACGGGATACGGTCCTTGATGGACCTCTCCAGCGTGAGTCCATCCCTCGGGCAATAGTTCTTCCCAAACTACTGTCCCATGGGTCACTCCTCCATGGGGTGCACTCCTTCATGAATGAGCTGTACCAATGTGGGTCCCCCACAGGAGCCACAAGTCCCACCCAGGAATAACCTGCTCCAGCGTGGGCTTCCCTCTCCAAGGGCTGCAGGTCTCTGGCAGGACCCTGCTCCATCTTGGGCCTCCCAAGGGGTCACAGATTCCTTCATGCATCCACCTGCTCCAGCATGCGCTCCTCCATGGGCTGCAGGTGGGTCTCTGCACCCTGATGGTCCTCCATGGGCTGCAGGGGCCTCAGCTCCGGTGCCTGGAGATCGTCCTCCCCCTCCTTCTGCACTGACCTTGGTTGTCTGCATTATTGTTCCCATATTCTCACTCTGCTCTTCCCTGGCTGGAATTCTCATCTGCACAAAAACTTTCTGTTCTTAAATATGTTACCACAGAGACATTACTATCACTCCTGATTGGCTCAGCCTTGGCCAGCAGCAGGAAGCCCATCCTGGAGCTGGCTGGCATTGGCTCCACCAGGGGAAGCTTCTAGCAGCTTTAACAGAAGCCACCCCTGTAGCATCCCCCGCTACCAAAACCTAGCTCCAAAAACCCAGTACAAACTTCTACTTCTCCAGATAAGTTGTAAGTAAATGGCATCATCTAAATCCCAGACTGCCCGGCTTAACAGTCATGTTAACTAAATCTGGATGTTCAGCTGCTTTCTGCAGGTGAGATCGGAGTGCTTTTGAGATTTTTATGGACAGAGGTCCTTTCTCCAAAGAGTAGAAAACTCAGAGAAATTAGACTCTGTTAAGGTTTGGTGCCAAAAGGCTGGGTGATGCAATTACTTCCTTTCTCATTTTTTATTCGGATAAGAATTTCTAGTTCTGCCATGTTTCTTGTGATACAGAGCTTTCCCGGGGAGTAGCAGCCTCCCTTTCCGTAAGGTCTTTGGGCTTGTTACATAGGGAAGGAGGAACATTCTTGTGAAAGGTTAAAAAGTAGTGTTGCCTTTGGAAACTGAATATTGTTTTTAGAAAACGGGGAAAAGAAAAAAAAGCTTGAATCTGCTTCTGTGATTCCTTTGGATTCTAATTTATTGTACCTCCTGAGAATGCTGAAAAACATTCAGCATTTTCGTGTCAGTTGCTGGAAAAAGTTTCAGGTGTAGCTTTACATCTCTGTGACAGTACAGAGATGTTTTGGATGGCACACGTAGGTGTGTTTTAGGGATTGCCACTTCCTAGTTTTGGTTCAAGTGAAGAATTCCAGGGAGATAGTTT